AACGCACGTCTCACACTTCCGCTCGATCGACGCAGCAATGGGACAACCACCAGCTGCAGCCGCCGGTCCTATTCCTCGACGAGCTCAAGGCCGATTGGTCCGACGACGAGACCGGCGCCGACATGGAGGGTCCCGAGGCCGAGTGGGAGGGCGAGCCCTTCCCCGAGGACGACGGCCTGGACGAGGAGAGCGAGTCTAAGAGCGAGGAAGAGTGCGACGAGGAAGAGTGCGACGAGGACTGCGACGACGAGGATATGGCGTCGGGCGCTCCCCAGCTTGAGCTCTACGCGCTCGACAGCATAAACATGGTACAGACACCACCACCACCATCACCATCACCATCACCACCACACACCACACACCAATTGATTCCCCCCCCCATGGCAGAAGTGCGAGAGCTTGAGTGAACAATCAATGAGCTTTACGAGGAAAGCCAAGAAGAAGGGTGGCTTCGCCCTCCCCATGCCCAGCCTTCCCTCGTGGGGAGGTGGCGGCGCCATGCCGAAGAGTTTCGCTGCTTCTTCTTCTTCTTCGTCGCTCGCGCCGTCATTCGCAGCGGCGCCCATGAGGTCCCTCTCCGCTGCCGCTCCACCTCCTCCCGGTATGGCGCGCCAGAGCCTGGCAAGAGAATGCGAATCAGCATCGTACGTGTCCTTAAACACACAATCCAACTCACTCACGCACGCACGCACGCACAATCACACAACACACACCCCTCTCCATCCTTAAGGTTGACCAGCCTGAATTAACCTCACACACACATTGGATGTGCCGCCGTACTCCGCAGGCCCAGGCTGTCTGATATGAAGGAATGCAGGCGGGCAGCCGCACCTACCAAGAATGTCAGGCAAAGGCGCAAAGAAGATAAGGGCATGGAGGAGGAGAAGATGAAGGGTAAGAAGCTGGCGAAGGACAGGCGCGCGTCTGTGGATGGTGACGGCATGCATGCCTACGCTGACGAGTGTGAGGACGACGTGCCCGAGGAGGCCTACGAGGAGCCGGCGCCCGTCATCGCCGTGCGGTCGAACTTCAATCCGCTGGCCAACTTCACCCCCGCGGTGCAGGTGGGTGAGGACGGCACCGCCGAGATCGCCGTCAAGATCCCCGACAACCTCACCCGCTACAGGATCTGGGCCGTGGCGGCCAGTCACGAAGGCCTCAAGTATGGTCTCGGCGAGAGCCTGCTGACCGCGCAGCTGCCCCTGGTCGTGCGCTGCAGGTGCGCCACCGCCTGGCTCACACGTTATTCTCCCTCACGAATTGCTTACTTTTCATACCACCCACGCACCTGCACGCAGCCCGCCTCGCTTCCTCAACTTCGGCGATCGCTGCGAGCTCACCGTTATCATCCAGAACCAGCTCGACGAGCCCCTTGATGTCATGTACGAATTCGCCTCTCCTCCTCTCTCTCTCTCTCTCTTCTGTTTTCTCTCTTCTCTCTTCTTTGTGTGTGTGTGTGTTGTGTGTGTGTTGTGTATTGGCTAAGCAAGTGATTTGGGGGGGGGTCCCGACAACAGGATGGCTCTGCGCGCGAGCGAGCACACAGAGGTGGTGATCGTGGAGGGAGGCGAGCATGCCAGGCAAGTGGGCTACCAGGTCCACATTCCCAAGGAGGGCCGCCGCATGCTGACTATCCCCATCAAGGTCACCAAGCCCGGTCTAGCACGCTTCCAGGTGCGCTCATCCACCCACTACAGAGGCCCAACGTCACCTGCCTGTCATGAATGCGCCGTCATTGATCGATGCGTACCGTAATAATTGCAGGTGACCTGCTTCGCGGGCAAGTACGGCGACGCTGCCGACGTCGAGTTCCCGGTCTATCCGCCCGCGACGACGGAGTCCTTCGCCTTCTACGGCACACTTTCGCAGGCCAGCGACGTCGTGCTGCAGACCATCGTCAAGCCCGCCGACGCCATCCCGCAATACGGCGCCCTCGAGGTTCGCTTAGCCTTTCACACGACGCTGTGTGCGTCGTTTACTCAATCGCTCCCGCGCGCCTCCCCGCAGATCTCGGCCAGCTGCACCATGCTGCAGGGACTGTTGGACGCGGCTGTCTACATGTACAGCTACCCGTACGAGTGCTCGGAGGTACGGCACAAACAAATAGTAGGCCGGGACGGTGGATGAGCTCAGCTGTGGCCCCGCGACTGACACGACTTCTTTGCCGTACAGCAAATTTCGTCCAAGCTGTTGGCCCTCGTGGCGCTCAGGGATGCGCTGGACATCTTCAAGAGCCCCTCGCTACCCAAGAAGAGCGTGCGCCTCCCCTCATTTCGCTCACCTCCCTCCATCTTCATTTGCCAATTAGACAATGGGAATTGGCCAATATATATTGATTTTATTGTTCTTTTCCATGTACAGGACCTCAAGAATCTGGTCTCCGAGGACCTCAAGCGTCTGAAGAAGAGGCAGCAGAAGGACGGTAGCGTGGGCATGTGGCAGCATTCTTACAGCAAGTACGCGCCCCGCCCCATCTTCACACCGGTGCATCGCTGTCAAACGGTCTTCTGATCTTCTTCTACGCAGTGCATTCCTGACGTGCCACGTGGCGCACTGTGCGGCCTTCTGCAAGGCCAAGGGCTACGGCCTGCCCTGGTTCTTCGAGGGCCGCCTGGCGTCGTATCTCAAGGACGTGCTTCCCGGGTCCCTCGCTCACGGCCGCGACCCCGACTTTGCCGAACTCACCATGGCCTACGCTCTGGTATGCGATTTCCCTCCATTCTGTCGGTGATGGCGTGCGATTGTGCTGACGTGGCTGTGGGCTGGAATGTAAAGTATGCGAGGTATCGTCTGTCGCCCTCGGCCGAGATCAAGAAGGAGACGGAGGACTTCTTCGTGCGCAAGACGGCCGACGGTCTACCCATCGAGGCGCTGTGCCTTGTGCTCACGGTGCTGGGCGACGCCGAGGGCAAGCAGAAGCGCTCGCTCTACGCGGACGAGCTGGTGCGCTATCTGGCCACCCACATCAGCGTCGACGAGGAGATGGGCACCGCGCACGTGCCCTCCTTCTATGATGAGCTCACCCGCCACGAGACCTTCCACAGCAACTACCGCGCTGGTACCCGTCCAGCGTGCCTTCCCCTTGACCACCCTGGCCAGTGGTTCATCACACACACACACACACACACACACACACAGATGCGATGCTGCTCGAGGCGTTGGTGGTGGCCGACCCGGAGAACCAGATGATCAGCAAGCTGGTCAAGAACCTGCTCTCGATGCGTAGGAACGGTATCTGGCAGAACACCCAGGAGAACTGCTGGGCGCTCATCGCCCTCGACCGCTACTTCACCGGTACGTCGTTTCTCTCCGCTGTTCAGCGCTCATGCGTCATGACTGCTGCTACTACTACGCGACCAACAACTTGACCTTGTGTCTATCGTGCGATATCTAGTGTTCGAGAAGACCAAGCCCGACTACAACGTCCGGTTCTGGCTCGCCGAGCAGTACTGCGGCGAGACGATTTTCAAGGTTCGGAACATTGAGGCACTCGGGGCGAGGTTGTGCTTTGGCTCGCGTTGCTTACGTCAGCTTGTGTCATGTGTGTCGGGTCGTATGTGGTTGCAGGGCCACACGACCGAGACTCGGGTGATCAACATCCCCATGCCCTTCCTGACCAAGGCCATCGCCCAGACCAAGACCCTGCGCATCGGCGGCGACATCTCCTTCGGCCAAACGGACCTCCACAAGTCGGCGCTCGTCGCCAAGAGCGAGGTACGTACCCCCCGCCTCCAATCTGCGGTGAGAGATCTTTCGATTGACCCCCGAGGCGCGCGTGTCCGCGTGCCCTCATTAGGATGACGACACCAAGGGCAAGAAGGCTGGCGCGTCCTCGAGCAAGCAGGATGGCGGTACGTGAATGCGAGCCCCCGCAATCCCCCGCCCCATTCAATCCGGTATCTGCTCACCGGCGGTGGCCACTGCGCTCGCCGTGCAGAAACTGCCAACTTGATCATCCAGAAGGAGGGCAAGGGCCGCCTCTACTATCGCCTGGGTTTGAGGTACCTCAGCTTGCCCTCTGCTCTGTGCCACTTGCTCGCCGGTGTGGTACTGATCGGTGTCGCCTCCCCCCTTTTTTTCCAGCTATGCACCGGAATCGCTGGAGATCGAAGCCAAGCAGCGGGGCTTCAGTGTGGAGAGGCAGTACACGGCCGAAGACAAGGACCACCCCGAGTTCGTCTCGCGCGACTCTGACGGCGTGTGGCATGTCAAGAAGGGCGCCGTCGTGCGGGCCAAGCTCACCATCGTACGCCCCCCTCCCCCGGTACGCACCACAAAAGAGTGGTGAATTCTGACACTTCTCTCACAGAGCACCAAGTTCCCGCGGTTCAACATCGCCCTGGTGGACAAGCTGCCGGGCGGTCTCGAAGCGGAGAACCCCGTCCTCAAGACCAGCCGCCCGCCGGCGGACAAGGACGAGGGCGGGGAGAAGGGCAAGGAGAAGGGAACCGAGCCCACGAAGCCCGCCACCTGGTTTGAACACGTACGTTGATGGACTCGGCCACTATGCAATGATGCCGCGCTGCTGACCATCACGTCACACAGCAAAACCTGCGCGATGAGAGGGTGGAGTGCTTCGCCGCCCAACTCGAGGCCACTTCCTATGTCTACGAGTACACTGCGCGCGCGACCACCCCTGGTACCTTCCTTGAACGGCCCTTTTCATTCTCCTTCTTATCTTCTGCGATGGCGCCCTGCTGACTCACGACACTTCAACCCTCGCCCCACTCCACCCACCCAAGGACGTTTCGTCATCCCGCCGGCCAAGATCGAGGAGATGTACGACCCGGACGTCTTTGGGCAGAGCTCCTCTGCTGTAATGCTTGTCGAGTAGGATGCCTGCCCTTTTCCACTCTGTGTTTCCGGATGAAGAAGCAACTTGAGCAGAAGGCCCCAATTTCACACTAAAATTGAATAATGTGAATTTCGGTGAAGGCAAACCTGCGAATCAACAAAACAAACATTTTGTGGGCGGAATTGGAGGCACGCATCAATCAATCATGGCACAGAGGAGACAAGAGCTGGAGAAGGAATTGGTTGGGCTTGCGCAGAAGGGTGCCTTCGCCCTCATCGCACAGAATCTTGAGGAATACGAGTACTTCGTACGTTTCGCAACCCATTTTTCGCTTGGGGGGGGCCAAACGCATTGCTGTTTGGCTTGGCACCACGATTGATTCAGATTCGTCGCTTCTAGTGTGCTGAGAATCCCAAAGATGCACTGCCTCTCTACGGTGCCCAGCTGCTGTCGTACCTGATCGAAAATGAGATTCACTACGCTCGCTTCCTGTGGCGGAGGATCCCCAAGAAGATCAAGGAAACCGATCCCGAATTGAACGCCATCTGGACGATTGGCCAGAACGTGTGGAACAAGAAGTACACCGACATCTACCAGAGCGCACAGGCCTACAACTGGAGCCCAGGCACCGTGCTTTTCGTGCAGGCCTTCGTGGAGAAGTTCAGGGAGCGCACCTTCAAGCTCATCTCGAGCGCCTACTCCAACATCTCGACCGGCGATCTTGCCGTGCTTCTCGGCCTCAGCGAGCAGGACGCCATTACGCGTGCGTGCCCAACCTCAGCTCTTCTTCTCGTTCTCGCTTTTGTGCATGCGTGCATGTGTCTGCCTCGTGCTCATGCCTACACCACTTCTTCTGTGCTGGCACACGTGCCCGTGTCTGTGTGCGCACACAGTGGCGGTGCAGCACGGCTGGACGCACGATGCTGCTTCGGGATCAGTGGCTCCCAGGCCCATCGTCCCCGAGACGAGGCAGGGCGCTTCGCTCGACCAGCTGCAGCAGCTCACCGACTACGTGTGCTTCCTCGAGGAGAACTAAGGCGGGCGAGTGGCGTACCACCTTACGTTTGCAAGACGCTGAAGAACGCAGGCCACCACCCTCAACGGCCACCCAAGCCCTTGGGCAAAGCTTTAGTCTGCAGACGTGTAAACAAATCTAAACGTGTTCAACTCCTCGTCTTTGCTTGGTTGGCTGTGGTGTTGGTGTTGCATCGTAGCCACAGCGGGCGGACGCAGGTGGCCACGCTCTCAACTGTACAAGTAGGGATGAAGACCCTGCTGCAGACTAATGGCTCTTCAGCTCGTTCTTGACGTCGCTCTTGATAGAGTCGAGGCCTGTCTTGACCCGAGTCTTCAGGCTCGCCTTGTCCTTGCCCGCAGCGTGGACCAGTACGACTGGACCCAAGGATACGAATGTGAGAATTGAGAGATTAAGCGAGCTGTGGAGATGGCAGGCGTACGAATGCCAGCGATTGCGACCGTGACGAAGAGCGGCTGGAAGCTCTCACTCCAGTACAACGAGAAGATGCTCACTGAACGAAGGCAAGAATAAGCGACCAACGCATCCTGGAGGAAACGAGCGAAGAACGTACCAAGAGCAGTGAGGCCATACTTGTGCAGCTCGTTGACGGCCACGCCGCCGACTTCAAGACGCATGTCCTTGGTGAAGATGGTGGCCGCACCGCCAAGAGCAGCCAGCACGCTCGCCACAAACAGGCCAGGGTAGAAGTATCTGCAGCAATCAAAGGCAATGGTCAAAAAGGGAGGGAACAATAAACGATGAGAGGCGCTTATAAGTACCCAGCCAGTACTACGAAGGCAGCAACGATGCACAGGTAGTTGCCCAGCCAGTGGTTCAGGTTAAGGCGGATCCTATCGGATAGGACATCAGCGCGCTTGGGCACAGAGACGTCGCTCGTTGACAGGAAATCGCTCCATGAGCGAATGATGATCTTGATTCCGCTCATTGCTTTTACGCTCAGTTGAAAACCAGCCGTTCGTTCGATCCCTTTGTTGATTACAATAACCAGCAACCAACGAAGCCACCCACAACACACGCACAGGTCAACCACATACCACAAATTCCAAAATTTCTTTTTGTTGTTTTGATATTTCTCTTCGCTCGTTATTATTTGTTTGGTGTTGTTGGCAAGACCGTGCGGGTGTCGCGTCTTTTTGCCTTCTCTGTGGCCTCGGGGTGATAGTGAGCCAGTTCTCTCTTCTCGTGGCATCTCTGGCAGAGGCCTGTGGCTAGGCCCGTGGGACTGCAGTCTTCGCACAACCGCGTTGCTGGGAAAAAGGAAGCGAAAGAAACTGTTTCGGGCCGAAAGATCGACACCGGTGAAGGGGTACGCAGTCTGACTTGGTGGTCGTTTGCTGCCCAACCTCACAGTCCCTTCTGAACAGAAGAAGAAATGGAGGGCCAAGTCGACCCCGTTATGCTGCCGAAGCTGCAGGGTCTGGTACGTCGGTGGCTGGCCCGCAAACGCTACAAGCGCCTATGTACCTACACCAGCTCCATCTTCAGAACACTGCTGCACCTGTTATTATTAGTTAGGATTGTTTCTAATGTTATTGTTTATTTATTTGAAGTTATTTTATTTGTTTTCTCATTAATTACCGCTCTAGTTTGCTCATTTGAGTCTTTGTTGTCCCTTCTTGCCTTCTAGTGTCCAGAAAAAAGCACAGAGACCATGTGGTCAAGGAGCTCCTTCACACGGAGGAGACCTATATCAAGGGCCTTACCAAAATGATGGAGGTGCGCCTCCTCTCCTCCCTTCGCCTGGACCGTACTGACTGTCAGCTCTTCGTGTGGCTTCAACGGTTCAGGTGTACGTTCGACCTCTGCAAGCGCTGGCACGCGGAGCGAGCGATGGACGGGTGGCCGAGCTGAACAACATCACCTCCAAGGCCGAGTACATCATCAACCTGAACACAACGCTGCTCTCCGATCTTAAGGAACGAGTGGACAACTGGTCGAACACCCAGACCATCGGAGACATTTTCATCAAGATGGTGACCGCCTCTCCCCCTTCATTGCCTGCAATGTCTGCGTGCTGCGCACTCACCGGCACATGTGCATCGTTGCGTGCAGAGCCCGTTCATGAAAATGTACACGCAGTACACCAATAACTACGAGAGCGCGGTGGTCATGCTCGAGCAGTCCGCCAACGACAAGGATATCCTGTATCAGTTCATACAGAGGTGCTACGGCGGCAGAGCCGACGTGCTCACATTCGATTCCTATCTCATCATGCCCATCCAAAGGTGCCTCATCACTCACCTGTCCTTGTTGGCGCACCACCTCGCGCCGCATTCTAATGTTGTCTCTTCTTTCCTGGTTCCCCAACGTAGAATACCGCGATACAATCTGTTGCTCGAGGTACGTTGATCTTGCTTCGACGCTGTTTGGCTGGTGTTGTATAATCTGAACGCCTAAGCGGCCAACGCGCACAGGACATGATCGCGCACACGTGGGAACACCACCCGGACTACGAGTCCCTCTGTAAGGCCCTCAAGATGCTGCAGTCGGTCACCGACTTCGTCAACAAAGACATCGCCACCTCCTCGGCGCTCACCAAAGTGCTGCACATCCAGAACAGCCTCGGAGGCGAAGTCCAGGTACGTACCACTCGTCCAACGTACTGTGCCGGCGGACGTAGGCGAGTCACTCACCGCGTGCACTCCGCACCAGTTGGTAGCACCGCACCGATACTGGATCACGGAGGGGAAGCTGCTGTCGATGCGCTTCGGAGCGCTCAATCTGTTCAGTAGCTTCGTGCTGGTCTACCTCTTCAACGATCTGCTCGTGTTCTCCAGTCGTCTGTTGACGTCGTACCGGTACAAGGGCCACTTCCTCCTGCACTCCACCTGGGTGGTCGATCTTCCCGACACCAACGGTACGCCCATCGCCTCTCACGACCGTACAGAACCATGAACTCCATCCAACTGACTGCGCGCTCTGCGTGCAACGCAGCATTCAAAAACATTTTTCAAATCAAGTCGGTCAACTCGCAGACGTACACTTTCTGCGCGGCGTCGGCGGAGGACAAGAAGACGTGGATAGATGCCCTCAATAAGGCCTTTGCCGACATGCAGCCCGCCGACAAGGGTGCGCGACCCCCTTAGGCGCTCCCCGTGACGCGCTCACTAACGCGGCTATGGCGTGATGTCGTACGACAGTGAAGCGGAAGGAGCTGCAGGACGCGGGAGAGATTCCTATTGAGGAAGGCACCCGCGAGGGATCGGTCGACGAGAATAAGAATTTTGCTCTGCAGATGATCATCCAGGCCGCTTCCGAGCAGCAACAGCAAGGCAAGGACCAAAAGCACAAGCGGTATGAGATCCTCCTCTAGAGGTATTAGCGCGCTTGAAGCAAAGCTTAAGTGGGGTGTGTGTGTGTGTAACAGAGATGAGGACGAGGACACCTACGGCAGCTTGAGCGGCAAGGAGATGGCGAGGCTCGTGAAAATGGGCGTGATGGAAAAGCAGACCGAGGAGGAGAAGAACAGGTCCAAATTCCTCAATAACGCCGAAGTGCGGAAGGAGTACCAGTTCATCCAGCGCAGTACGCTCACCCTCACTCGACTGCTGGCAACCCCGACTCTATCGCACCACTTGACTCACCGTTGGTTACTGGTAGACGTGCAAGAGCGCCAGCAGATGTACCTGCAGGCGGTGTCGCGCTCCAGCGGGGCCATCTCCGATCAGCAGCTCGCCGAGATCGAGAAGCGGAAGGAGGAGGTCAAGCAGGTGACCCGAGCCGGCAGTGTGCGCGACTCTCGCAACATATTCGAGTCCGGCGACTCCATCACCCTCGGTTCGTTGTCTGCGTCCCTCTCTTCCTCAATCCACCGACCCACTCACCCCCCCCCCTCGTCCGTGTGTTGGCGGTTGCAGAGAGTCCGAGACAGCGCACGCCCGGTTCGACCCGCATGCCCTCGGAGGCAGCGCTGCTGGTGGCCCGGGCGCAGGACGACGTCGCCAAGAACTCGCCGCGCGGCACGCCCCGTGGCACGCCGCGGGGATCCGACGCGCTCGATGTACCACCGCCTCCACCTAGCACTTTCTCGTGAAGTGAAGGTCTCGGTAGGGCACATTGAACTAACTGGGTAACAATCTACATCAACTGCAGCCGCCGGGGCGTAAGATGTCTGCTGAAATTGTGAAGAGGGTGACAAGTTACAACTCGGCTGTCGGCAGCGCGGACGCGTCGCCGGCCGCATCTCCGGCCAGCGCCAGCCGGCAGGACAAGCCGCCCAAGAGCCCGGCAGCCGCCGCGCCGCCCAGCAGCAAAGAGGTACGTACCACCTTCGCCGGCGTTACACTTCCGCGCTGCCGACACGCGAGCTTACGTGCCTGCTCTGCATTCTCTGGGGACGCAGGGTGCCGACAGGGGGACCATTGCCAAGGGCACGGTGGGTGAGCGGGTGAAGGCCTATCAGGCCCACACCGCGGGAGAGGGCCAAAGCGAGGGGCAGCCGCTCCTCACGTCGAGGCCGGAGATGGAGGATGGTGGATGCTGCACCTGCGTTCTCTCCTAAGCGAAACCCTGAACCACACCGCACACACGGCTGATCGTCGTTTCACGCCACCGCGCGCGCGCCACGGTGGGTGAGGCGTTGTCATTCCTGTACCTATACCACTCGCAAGCAAACTATTTATTCCAACCGCCCCCGCTCTAGACGAACCGCCGCCATCACAAGGTGACTCGCGCTTCGCCTTTCTAGCTCAGCCCAGACCGGACAATAAAAAAATAACACTTTTATTTAGTGTATTTCTCCGCTTATTATTTCCACTACCACAAGACCTACTCCTTCACAACCGCCAACAATGGGGCAGAAGCACGGCAAGCATGCTGCAGAGCCCTCCCTGTCCCGAGAACGTACACTTCTGCCCCCCCCCCTTACGCGGCGGTTTTGGCGGTTGTGAAGGAGTCTGGTGTGACGTTGCCCCCCCCCCACTTTGCGTAGTGAGCCGACATCAGGTGGGAGAGCTGTCGGCGCTGTTCGAGATCATCCAGCGGCAGTTCCCGTCGGGCCGCCTGGACCGGGCCAACTTTGGGAAGGTGTTCGCTGCGGGCGACGACGCGTTCGCGCAGCGACTGTGGGAGGCCCTGGACCCGGGCGGCACGGGCTGCATCGATTTCCGTGACTACGTGCTCGGCGCCTCTGTCTTTTGCGTGGGCTCTAAGCAGGAGAAGCTTCAATGTACCCCCTCCTCTCGCGCACACCGCACATACCGCACCCCGCACACGACACACGTGGCATCTAACGTACCAATTGACATCATCCTCCTCCCCCTACAAGTCTTGTTCACTCTGTGCGATCAGGACGGAGATGGATCCATCAGCCTGATGGAGTTCAACCAGATGCGATTCACGGTGTCGAGGTAACGCATCATTGAGCGCGCTCGGCCTTGGTCACCTCATTCCAACGCTTCTAACCCGTGGCCTGCGCGCCGTGGGTTCGTAGGTTTGCCAACACGTACCTCTCCGCGCTGGAGAACGCCAAGGAGGACCCCACGCTCGAGGTACTTACCGCCGCCCACCTCGTGGACGCGCTGGGCCATAGATGGGGCTCACCTTCCCCCTCCCCTTCTCTTCGCCGGCGATGAAGGAGCGAATGCGGGCCGAGTTCGAGGCTGCGGACATCAACCACGACAAGAAGCTCACGCTCCAGGAGTTCACCACGCTGTTCGAGAAGGGTTCGGCTCCACTGCTCTATTTATTATTATTATTATTATATTTATTATGATTATTATGCTCACGCGTTGAGGTGGGTGCTCACTACAGGCGAACACGAAGGCAGCGGGGCGCTGCACGATCTGATCGAGTCCATCGAGGAGCGGCTGCGACTGCTGTTCGTGCCCAAGCAGCTGCACATCCGGTGCGCGCTGGTCGGGCCGGCCCAGTGCGGCAAGTCCACGGTGGTTGCCGAGCTCACCCAGGAGGAGGTCGGCAGCGTCTACCGCTACAAGTACGTGTTGACCCGCCCAGCACTCCACTCCCAATATCCCACATCTACGTCGCGTGGACTCATGTACCACGTGTGTGTATGTGTGGCTTAGTAAGCACTACAATCTGGATGGAGTGCCCGTGCGGCTGGAGATCATAGACTCGGGCCAGAACAGGGCATTTGCCTATCCTGGCATCGATATTGTGATCATTCTGTTCGCCATGGACTCGCATGAGTTCAACGTGTTGGACGAGGTAACGTGCCACACACACCGCACACGCACGCACGCACGCACGCACACGCACACGGTTCATAGTGTTGTGCTCACGCAGTCTGATGTTGTCGGTCGGTCTGCAGATCAGCCAGGAGATTGCGCGCTACTGTCCGAAGGCGGTCAGGCTGTTCGGGCTCACGAAGCTGGACCTGCAGCAGGCCACCAACGAGATCAAGTACAAGGCCAGGGACCTGACCGCCCAGTGCGCCAAGCGGCTGCAGGCGGCCCAGGCCTTCCAGATATCATCGTCTGCCGCGGCCGCCAAGGGCAACCCCGACATGGCCACGCCCGAGGAGCTGTTTGACTACGCTGTGTCGTGCGTCGTCCCGCCCTTCCTGCTGCGACCCCAGCACGTCCACATCAGATGCGGAATGGCCGGGCCGCCCGGAGGCGGCAGATCGACCATGATCGGCAAGCTGTTCGGCCTCGACGCCGTCACGTCTCACCACTATCAGGTGAGCCTCTTTTCCTCCTGCAACCCTCAGATCTCTCCTACTCACGCACACGACATGCCAATGGGGGGGGGCAGGGAGTGGTCGAGGCCGAGAGCATCAAGGCCGATCTGGAGGTGTTCGACTCAGAGGAGTACAACCGCGCGCTCTTCCTGGCGGACATGCACGTTATACTGCTCGTGCTCCCCGTCACCTACACCTCCTTCAAGTACGTCACCACACACCACACACCCACACCCACACCACACACCCACACCACACACCGCACACCACACACCAATCTCGCCTGTGCAGGGAAGTGGAGAAGATCGCCAACGAGCTGCGCACGATCTGCCCCGACGCGCCCATCATTCTCGTGGGGAGCAAGATTGACCTGCGCGGCACCACCAAGTGCATCTCGGCAGAGCGGGGCGAGGAGTGGCGCCAGAAGCTCAGGCTGTGGCACTACGCTGAGTGCTCGGCCGCTGCCGACCTCAACGTGCGCGGGGTGTTCGAGGAGGCCGTGCGCGCCGCCGTGCCCCTCTTCTCGCTCACCGACTCCGGGCCGCTGAGCCACGCCCACCGCCCGCTTCTGCTCACGGACACCCACGCCACAGCGCCACCGGCCGCGGTGCCAGCCCCGCAGCAGCAGCAGCAACCCAAGGCCAGTTCGCCGAGGAGGCTGACGACGATGCGACCGCCGTCGCGCCCGGCGCCGGAGCGGCCGCTGCCGATGGTGCCGCCCCCGACGGCGCCGGTCGAGCCGCTGTACGTGGCTCAGTACGACTACCTGGACGACCAGCGCGAGGGCGTACTCCACTTCGCGCGGTTCGCCGTGATCACGCTCGTGGATAAGGGCGACGACGGCTGGTGGCTCGGCAAGCTGCCCAACGGCCAGACCGGCTACTTCCCGGGCTCCTACGTGCTCCCCGTCACCACCTCTTGATCCTCCTACAAAGCCACTCACACCTCCTTCAACATGAATAACATTAGCGTTATACCAGTGGTCTTTGTTTGTATGTACACTTGATTGAGGGCGATTTGGGGGGGGGGCTCAGGCGTCGGTGAGCTGGCCAGCTGCTGGGGCGGAGGGCATCGAGACCATGTGCCGAAGGACTTCCTGGGTGGCGATGCCGGCAGCCACCACCGTGGTGAGCGCCGTGATCGGGCTCTGCACCTGCTCGCTCTTGCCCTCGCCTGGACATACGCCAATTGATGAGTGGCGAGAGTCGAGAGGAGGAGAGAAACCGAAAGTAGTAGTACCGAGAACGCAGAAGGTGGCAAAGTGCTCGCAGTTGTTGAAGAAGAGGTTGTAGGTGTCGTGGGCCTCGTGCCGCCACACGTGCAGCGCTCGCTTCACCGCCTTCCGCCGCTCCCTGTTCAACCCTCCCGATGAGACCTCAACAAGAAGACCAAGAAATGGACCACCTCCATGCGGGGGAGTGTGACGGATTACCGAGGGGTGATGTCGGCGTAGAGCAGGATCTCGAACTGGGTGGCGCCGGCGAGGAAGGCGCCCATTGACTCACGCTTGACCCGGGCGTTGCGCCACGGCTCGGTCGGGCTGCCCGCGAAGTGGACCACCTCGTCCTCGCCTGCAGACCCAATCGACCCCAACACCACCCAGGGCACGAGGTGAGTGCGCGGAGCAGGAGGGGTTGGGGAGGGGCTTGTAGGTACCAACGTAGAGGCCGTGGTGGGAGTAGCCCCACCGCTTGACCTTGATGTGATCTCCCGCCTGCAGCTTGGCTCCGCCCTCATCGGCCGACACCACCGCTACCGACTGTCCTGCGCCCATCGTCGTCGTTGTTGTTGTTACTTGAAAGGTCCCTTCTCGGTTGATGGATGAAGGGAACCGGTGGTGGTTGGTAGGTATCTGATGCGAAGAGCAGAGCAAGTGGTGGCAGTAGTGGTGGTTGGCTTGCTTGGCGAGGCAGCTGCCACACCAGGGGAGGACTGACTCAAACTGCTCTCCTCCTCCGCATCTCCCCTTCTCCGGACGTCAACCCACTTCACTCCCGCTGGCCTTCGCCGGGATTCGAGCGTGAACGATTCGGGTCCCGCCCACAACGGCGGAAAGTGTCTTTGACGCGGGAGACGACGCCAAACTCGAACAACGATGATGGTGATGATGTGGTGTGTAATTAGCAAAGTACCACAAAGTGCCCTCACCAGGCCAGCAAGCAGTAACAAACACAGATCAGATCTTCTTGACGGTGATGACCAGGGGAGCGAACACCTTCGTCCAGCCGGTGAAGCCTGAATCGGATGTAGCCCGATTTAGCGTTGGCTTGAGGAGTGAGTGAGAGGGCCACGATGTCATCAACGCAAACACAACAACGCACCCTTGACGTCGAACTGGAAGAGGATCTCGTGCGTGATGGACTCGGAGGAGCTGGGCAGGGTGCGGGGCAGTTGGTAGGTGACCTGCATCACGATGAAAACCACCACGTGAGCCACTCCACCACATTTCCGTGCATTGGTCTCGTGCACACGGCAGGGCGGTGTGTTGTGCGTACGCTGCCGTCGTAGTCGGTGTAGCCATCGAGCGGGAACCTGCGCGCAAGAGAGAGAGAGAGAAGGCATCAGAGGTGTGAGCAAGCGCGAGTGTCACGCTTTGAGGCGGACTGGCCGTACCGGGAGCCCTGGAACCATTCCTCTTTCTTGCCGGTCTGGAGCGGCTCGAGCTTCTTGCCCTTCTCGGCCACGCCTTCCTTGGTTTGCAGCGTCGCCTGTTTACACCACAAACGCATCAACATCTGATCTCGATTCCTAATGTAACGGGCGAGGCGAAAAGCGTACCATGATCGATCGGACCTGCTTCTCCGATGTGTTCTTAATCGAAACTACACAAAGATGAGACATTTCGAAAAAGATCGATTGAGACGGCGCCGCCGGCGAGGTAGCAAAAGATTGGTGGGAGAAAAGGTACCCTGGATGGGGATGGTGGAGCCAGGGGCGTAGGGGAGATCACGCGCCCACACGTAGAACTCGACTCGCTTCTTGCTGCTCAGGAACTTCTTGGTGGCACGCGCCTCGGTGCGGCCGCCGAAGATGGTGCTCGTGGCCCGCACAAGCGCCTTTCCATCTCCCTCCTCATCCACCTCCGTCTCCAGTTCGGCCAGCGTCTTCTTCTCCTCTGCGTCCGCCATCTCTTTGTAACTTGATCGTGTGCTTGATGCTTGGTTCTTTTGAGGTGGTTGCTACCCGCACCAGTTTTGTTGGTATCCCAGCAGATAAAATATAAAAATAAACAAATAAAAATTCCAACCGTAAAAGAAAACAATAAAAGAGAATAAAAAGTTGGTTCATTTATTTAGTGAAGAGGGAGAACCAGCCCTTCTTCTTGTCCTCTTCTTTCTGCTTCTCTTCGGCCTCCCTTCGCTCGCGCTCCGCCTGCAGCTGCCTCTCGATGCGCGCCACCCGATCCCGCTCGTCCTGCTGTTGCTTGTCCATCTGACGCTTGAGCTTGTACTCCTGGGCGCGGGCCATGCGCTCGTAGCGGTCCGTGTCGTCGCCACCGCGCCCCTCCTTACGCAGCTTCTCCACGATCTTGCGCGACACGCCCTCGCCATCCCACTCCTTGGCGTTGAGCTTTGGTGGCCTTCGCGCCTTCTTCATCTGCTCGGCCGCCCTTTCTGCCTCCGCTTCCTCTGCCTCTTCCTCTGCTCGCGCCAGGGCCAGGAAGCTGTCACGTTCTGGACGAGTGCGCACGTATGGGTAAAATCATTGTGCTTGCCCCCCGCCCAAAAGAGATTTTTCGAATCTCAACATATTCGATCAACTGATGGCTGTGGCTTTGCCAGACAGGCAGGCAAGTGTGCATACCCTCCTTGGACGTGGTGAGAGCCCGCAGCCCGCTGTGTTGCCCGCCCCGTGCGCTGCACAACAAGGGCGACGCGAGCCGTCCTGCTCTGCACTCTGCCCTGGCCAGCCCCCAAGGTAGGCCCCCAACGTTGCCGCTCCCCACCCTCGCGCGCAGCATCATGCTATGTCCAAGCGCAAAACTAGTTGATTTGTCAAAACAATGCAAAATCAATTTTATTCCTTTTTATTTGTTTCATTATTCAGACTTTTGTGGCACTTCCCGATTCAGGTTGCACGCCACGCTGCTCGGGCAAAGCAAGAAAGGAGAACCAAAGTGTTCCTGGTCGGCTGCAACTTCCACAGGCGGCCGAGAAGAACTTCTTCTTGTTCTTGGTCTGCAAGAACTTTTCTTTTTGTGTTCTTGTGCGTACCGACACCCACCCCACAACTGCCGCTCCCCGCATCATGCTCGAGACTCAGCCTCTCCTCGGTGGCCCCATCAAGGACAACGCCAGGACCGTCCTCATCGTCGCGAGCGTCGTCGCCCTCGTCGTGGGCGTCATCGTCGGTACGGTTCTCTCCTAATCTCATAGGGTCTCTGTTCAATCGATCATTCTATCATAAATCTGATGGGATTGGTGGGTCTGTACAGGTTTCATCATTGGTTGGGGAGTCTTTGATGAGGGTGATATTACTGTGAAGTCGTTCAAGGAGGTGGGCATCCTCCACTCGCTCTCGGGTCCGCTTGCCGTTGACGAGAGGCACGTGGTGGACGCCACCCTTCTCGCCATCGACGAGATCAACGCGGCCGGTGGCCTCCTCGGACATCACCTGAAGGTGGTCCTACGCGACGGCTTCTCCGACGAAAAGATCTTCGCCTCCGAGATGCAGCGCATGCTCACCCAGGACAAGGTCGACGTCGTGTTCGGCTGCTGGACCAGTGGCAGCAGGAAGGCCGTCCTCCCGGCCCTCGCCTCCAACAACGGTCTGCTCTTCTACCCGGTGCAGTACGAGGGCGTAGAGTCCCACCCCAACGTCGTCTACACCGGTGCGTCTTCACCCCTCCCCCCCCCACGGCGGCACTTCGACGTGCAGTAGTCCCCGACTGGCGTTCGGCGTGCTAACGGCACTCCCAACGTAACGCGATCAGGCGCTGCTCCCAACCAGCAGATCCTGCCCGCCGTGCAGTGGGCCTACCAGCAGGGCTTCAGGTAAGGGACCAGCCCGACAGAGCGGCTGCGAGTGGCTCGTTTGTTGACTGCTCACGTGGCTCTCGCTGCTTTGCAGGAAGTTCGCGCTGATTGGTTCGGACTACATCTTCCCTCGCACGGCCAACGCCATCGTCAAGGATGCCCTCTCCACGATGAGCGGAGTCACCATCAACGAGGTGCGTGCTGCTGCTGCTTCGCTCATTATCTCTCCCGTTTGGGCCGAATTGATGTTCACACGCGGTGCGTCTTGTGTGTGCGTCATGTCCAGCAATACCTCATCCTCGGCGAGGAGGACCCCAGCCGCGTCAACGCCGCCGTGGCCAACATCAAGACCTTTGCCCCCGATGTCATCCTCAACACCGTCAACGGTACAGCTTCTTTCTACCTACTCCTTTTGTTTGTCTGGTGCAGAATTCAGCGCGAGTGTTGACGGAAGTGTGGAACTTGGGCAGGCGACACCAACATGCTGCTCTTCAACGCCCTCTCGACCTCGGCCGTCAGCGGTGCCGTCATCTCGTTCAGCGTGGCCGAGCCGGAGGTCGTGCAGATCATGGCCAGCGGCGTGTCGATGGCCGGTTCCTACGCCTCGTGGTACGTTTTCTGCTCTACCAGGCCGAGTGCGTGTCGTGTGTCGTGGCTCACGCCATCTCCGCCTGTCCGCTCTGTAGGAACTACTTCCAGAGCGAGACGAGCGCTGCCAACAACGCCTTCGTGACCGAGTTCAAGAACACCTACGGCCAGGCTTCCGTGATCGGTGCGCGCCCGTACCACGTAGTGTGTAACTTACGCCGGCCCAGTGGCTCACCGGTGGCGCGTGTATGTGGACCGCACAGGTGACCCGATGGCTGCCGCCTACACTGGCGTTCACCTGTGGGCTGCCGCCGTCAAGAAGGCCAACAGCTTCGTCCATGCGGACGTCAAGGCGGCGCTCCCCACCGTCTCGGTGAGCTCGCCCATGGGCCAGGTGACCGTGTCGGCCACGAACCAGCACACCGTCAAGTCGTGGTATCTCGGCCGAGTGCAGGCCTCCGGTCAGTTCGCCATCGTCGCGTCGAGCAGCTCCACCATCAACCCGGATCCCTACCCGCTCGCGGGCGCTCACCAGACGCAGACCGCGTGGTCGAACTTCCTCAACTGCTGGAACAGCAAGTGGGGCATGTGGAAGAACGGCGCCGGCCCGTCGGCCATCCTCCCCAACGACGCCTGCTAGGCGGCTTCCCGCTTATTCTTTGAAGTGCGGAGCGACCAGTACTGTAGCGACCACTCCTTAAGAAGTGTCCTTCCCTCTCTGCTGTCCATGCGTCCCATTGCCGCGTGCTTGGTTTGCCGGGCATTACGCGCCCGACGCGAAAAGAAGAGAGGAACGCTGTTTTGAAGCGGAGTTGCGGTCAAGGCCGGATCAAATAACGCGGGGCGGGTGCTGCAGAGCAACAGGGCCGCAGTTTCTGGGCTCATTTCTTGAAGCGGAGTGTGTGGGCCGATCTCGTGGAAAATGGGTCGGGGCGCCTCGCACCCCTTTCTTCGTTCTTTGCGACGGGCCTCTACGTCAGGCCCTCGGCCAAGAGCTCCAGCACCTTCTCTCTGTGTCGGCGTGCGGTGTCGTCTTGGCCTCGCGCACCACCGCCACACGCAACACAACACAGGAGCGACTGCACATAGGCGAAAGTTGCAAGGGGGCGGCATGAGCGTCATGCTGCAGATGTCGAGCAACCGCATAGTGGCAGTGCCGGCTGCATCGCGAGGCTCATCGACATCGAAGAAGAAAAAGGAGAAAAAGAAGAAGGATCTGCGGCAAGCGTCATCATCCTCAACCTCTACATCGACGGATCGCAGCTCAGTAATCATTCACGAAAAGGGGGGCGATGACGAGCTGCCGGAGGATTTCGTCAAGGAGTACTCTCTCGACCTCGATCAGCTAGGTCCCTCGCCTCGTCTCACGTCGGGGAGCTCATCCGAAAGTAAGAGCGATTCTGAAGATGACGATCGAAATGGACGAAGGAAAAAGAAGAAAAAGAAGCAGAAGAATAAGCCGTTCACGCGACCGCGGGTCCTCACCTCTTCAGCCGAGGCCATCTCCACTCCTATCATCTCTGAGGAAGAGGGAGGAAGCAGCAGCGATTTTTCAGGCCTCTACAATCACCATCTTACGAACAACGCACACAATCGTGTGGCGGTGCGACGTACTGGGAGCTCCCTCTCCACCACGCGCACCAGCGTCCAACCACCACCACTTGCCGCTCTTTCCAAGGAGCTCTTCCTTCGTGTACGCTCACCATCTCCCCAATTAACTTATTTTTTTAATATATATAAATCATAATATTATGATTGCTTGTAACTTCGCTTGGCGTTGAAATGGCGCAACATCAGCAGCTGGCGTAATAATGGATTTATTGATTGATTAAATGGTGGGTGCGTAAGTGTGTTCCTGGACGTTCCTGATTTCAAAGAACGAAGCGGCAAAAATGAGTCAAAAATAGCCGCGCAGCGTTTATTTGACCTCGTGGCGCGCTTGCCGCCACCTGTTGGTCTCACCCTCTTCTTCTTCTTCTTCGCGTGCTTGCAGATTTTCAACTACCTCGACTGGAAGTCGGTGTGCATGGTCAGCTGCTCTTGCTCTCTTTGGTCCGTTCCCCCTCCGCTCTGGCGCACTTCCGCACTCTTTGCTCGCCAGATGGCCAATGGAGGACGTGCGCGCTCACGACGAGCCTGTGAACTGCCATGGTGATGGTGGATGGCGTGCTTGCGCAGGCGGTATGTCTGCGAGCGGTCGGGCAAGGAGCTGCTGGAGCAGAAGGGAGTGAGGAACATATTGTGGCTCTTCTACCTGCTGGACAGGATCGACGAGCAGATCGAGATCGTGCTGCTCATGGAAGAGGAGGAACGGAAGCGACTCAAGAAGCTCGAGGAGGAGAAGAGGGAGAAGTACAAGAACGGCGTCAACACCAAAAAGAAGAAGAAGAAGAAGACGAAGAAGCCCAGCAAGGAAGAGGATCGACCAAACGGCAAGGCCAACAAGAAGACAAAGAAGAAGAGCAAGAACGACGAGACCGACAGCAGCGACAGCAGCGATACCGACAGCGGAAGTTGTAGCGACGGCGGTCTCACCAAGAAGGCCAAGAAAAGGCCAAAGAAGTCGAAGAAGACGAAGAAGTCGACGAAGGACAAGAAGTCCGCCATCGAGTTCGACATGTTCCTTCGAAGCGGCACGAGGATAGAGTTCCTCAAGGTGCGGCACTTGGATCTGTCCCTCCCCCACTGTCTGTTTGCGCTCCCGCTCACTGGGCATGTGCTCTGATCTGTTGTAGGCCACGGTCATGCTGCTGCGGACCTACTTCAAGCAAAACGGACTCCTTCAGAAGCGCAAACTCGTGCCCATGGCGGAGTACACCCGTTTGCTCGGTAAGGGCTTCGATCGTCACCCTCTCACTGTCCGTGCTTGAGCTAATGGCCGCGTTTTCCCACATGTGGTAGGTATCCTCGACAAGCAGCTGCTGGAAACGCACTCTGTGCTGGCTCAGGTGATCAGCGGTGAACTTCCCATGAACGAGAACTTCGATATTATCGAGCTCAGCTTGCGAAGGTAGTGCGCCCCGCTTGGTCCGTATAGAGCTGTTGGGTCATGGGCCGCTCATTTGATTGCCGCGGTTGTGTGCGTGTGCCACGACAGATACTACTCCGACTTCACGCTCATGTTTTCGCCTCATGGAGGGGCGAACACCACGTACTCCCATCCCTCGCGAATAATCACCGACGACAAGGTACTCCTCGAGGCCCTTGTCCCTGCACCGCCTCGACTGGTCTGACCACCACTTCAATAATGGCACAGGCGCGCAAGGTGTGGGAGGAGAGCGTGGGCAAGGATGTCTACTTCTGCAACTTCAAGGTAGCGCCCATTTGTGCAAATGATGAGCTTGCTCGCTGGGCATACGCAGCGCGGCTCACCGCAGTGAAACGTTTCCCTGTGGTCCAGTCTTTCTACAAGCATGTGCTCCGAGAAGAGACCGATCTCGCCGACAAAGACTTCAAGCGCTACATGAAGTATTTTCTCAACTTCCCCAAAGACGACACAGTGTCTGTCGCCAAGTACGCGTCCCTCGTCCCCTAAATTCGCAACCATTCACTGCTCGTGTAGGGTGTGGACAACGCTGACCTGATCGTCTACTCGCAGGTGGAATACGCTGACGCGGCTGTTTGGACCGTATCGCAACTTTTACCGAACTCTGCACCGCTACGTCATCGGCACGGGCTTCCTGGGTCTCATCAACCGAATCCGCGCGGAGGTAAGGCGTCAGCGGCCTTATCTTTGCAGTCCATCCTCATCATCGTCGTCTCGTGTGCTCAAACCTCATTGCGTGCTGCTTCTTTCACCCAACAGGAAATTTTGAAGAACTACCCCAACCATGTGCTCATCCGCTTCAGTCGAACCGCGCCGCTCCTTCTCGTACGCCCCCGCACTGCTTTGCTGGATGCCACGATGTGCACATGGGCCTTCAATTCACGCGGGACCCGCGCACAATCACTTGCAGGCCTTCAGCGAGAACAAGGACGGTGTGATCACGCACAGCACCAACGGACCCAGCGCGCGCAAGCTGCTCAAGCTTCCCGAGACCAAGGACAACGTCCCTATCGATGTCTACCTGCAGAAGGTGTTCCCTCGCTCCTCGCTCATACCCATGAAGGTCGACGGAAGGTACGCGTTCGCCCGTTTTCAGCGTCAACCCGTTTGCGTGCTCAAACGGGAAGGACGCACGGACTGACTCAAGAGAGCCCATCTGTTCTGGCGTGTGCGTGAAGGCTGGTGGCGCGAAAGGACACCTACACGGACTACGTGAGCACGTCGTCGGGCTACCTCTGCGCGGGCGAGTTCCTGTGGGAGAATGACTGAACCGAAGAGAGCGTCACGCACACACGCACCCCTATTTATTTTGATGGTGATGATGATGACCATTCACTGCTTGTACAGCCTCACCAAGTTGAGCACCAACAAAGATGCGTTCTGCCACTGCAGACTTTTTACGATTTATGTGATCAATTATTCGTGGATAATCGTTTTATTTTGTATTTATTTGGTACGTGTGATTATGGCAGGGCCAAGAAAGGGTTCGCCTTGTTTTCGGTGGCGGTTCGCCCTGTGCGCACAACCCTCGCCGACTGACGACGAGTTGTTCGACAACAAGCGGGGGCGGTGTTGTGTGTGGACACTAGCACACGTACGACCCACGACGAACTACGCAACGTTCCTACTACCACAGCTCAATCTTCCGGCGGTACGGACGCGGTCTGCTTCTGAGAACGTTCCCCTTGAAGAGAGCAGCCATGGGCGGCGAAGTGAAGGGCGGGCAGGACGGCCGCACCCACAAGGGCAACACGATAGATGACATCCCTCTATGGACCCTCGCCTGGACCTACTGGGGCTTCATCTGCGCCATCTTGACCGCTCATTTTAGGCGGCTCATCTTCTGGGTCTGTACGTTGCTTGGCTTCCTGCAGGAGGATTCTGCCTTTCTCAGCGCTGCGGTACATTCCCAATCCTTCAACTATTCGTATGTGTGTCTTCGGACCTCCCTCATCTTGTGCACAACAGGGAGAGTGTCCTCTGTTGAAGGAGAAGGAGTACTTCTACATGCGCTACATGTTCGGAAGGATCCGAGATTGCTGGGATCGCCCGATTTGCAGCCGGCCCGGCCCCTTATTCCAGCTCATGGGGCGCATCTTCAACTACAGCATATATGGCACCTTCACCTACACCGGCGAGAAGGTGCCTGGGATCAATCTCGGTTCCTACAACTACCTCGGCTTCGCCGAGAACGCTGGCACATGCATCGACCACGTTATCGATGCCGTGAATGCCTACGGCGTCGGCCCTGCTGGGCGCAAGATTGAAGTCGGTTGGGCCTCATCTTCCTACAACCACCTCCCTCGGAGATCGGAGGTCTCTAGAAGAGGCGACCAAGCCAGAAGAGTCTTGGCGACTAAGCCAGCTCACGACTGGAGGGTCTGGTGGGCGCTCGCAGGAACCATGGACCTGCACAAGGTGCTGGAGACGCGGGTGGCCAACTTCGTGGGCAAAGAAGACGCCGTGGTCTTCGCCATGGGCTACGCCACCAACTCGTGCTCTCTCCCCGCCCTCGCCGGACCGGTATCTCTTCCTTTGGCCTCCTCCTTGTAGTGAAAGTTTTTATTCTCATTATTTTTCAGCTATGCAGAAAATAAGAAAAGAGGAGGACCAGAGCGAACGCTTCCTAGCTAAACCCTTTCCCCATTCGTGGTCGTGCGTGCGCCCAGGGAGGATTGATCATCAGCGACTCACTGAACCATGCGTCGATCGTCACGGGCTGTCGCACTTCGGGAGCCAAGATCAAGACCTTCAAGCACAATGGTGAGTGTGTGCCCTCGCTGTACTGTTGCTTTCATTGGCCGCACAACACGCTGACACGCGGCCTCCGTGGCGCATCATGCGACGCAGATCCCCAGGACTTGGAGAGGGTCATCCGGCAGGCCATTGCAGAGGGTCAGCCCCGCACGCACAGGCACTGGAAGAAGATCCTGATCGTGGTGGAGGGTATCTACAGCATGGAGGGCGAGATCCTGCGTCTCCCCGAGATTATCGCCATCAAGAAGAAGTACAAGGCCTACCTCTACGTCGACGAAGCGCACAGCATCGGCGCCCTGGGCTCGCGCGCCAAGGGCGTGTGCGACTACTATGGCACGTACCACGCACGCACGCACGCAGTTGGGGCTCGTTGTCCTTACGTGATGGCCACGTGTTGCTCGCATGTACACACATTGCAGGCGTCGACCCCAAGGAGGTTGATATCCTGATGGGCACCTTCACCAAGTCGTTTGGCTCGGTCGGTGGCTACATCGCGGGCGATAAGGTGCATGCTCCTTCTTCCGTGCTCTCATTCCTGTGTGTCGCCGAAACTACTTTTGCAGTTCCTAACGCGCCATCTTCTTTGATGGTGACGGGCAGGACTTCGTCCGCTACCTGAGGCAAACGTCGTTCTGCAGCATGTACGAGGAGACCATGTCCATTCCCTGCGCGCAGATGATCATCTCCGCCCTCAACGTCATTACCGGAGCCGACGGCAGCAACGAAGGTCAAAAGAGGTTCGGCTCTCCCCTCTCTTTGATTGTGTTTTTGTGGGCCTCCCTTTCTCAACACATCATCAGGATCAAGGCGCTGAGGGACAACAGCAACTTCTTCAGGAACAAGCTCAAGGAGCTGGGCTTCCGTGTGGCCGGAGACGAGGACTCTCCCGTCATTCCCCTCATGCTCTACCATCCCGCCAAGATCGCCGGCTTCTCCCGCCTTTGTCTGCTCGAGAACGTACGCCCCCCCCTTCACTCCAAACAACCGGCGCGACAGGGATTGAAAGTTGGCTTGGCGCGGTGTGCGGTGGTGGTGAGCAGGTGGCGGTGGTGGTGGTGGGCTTCCCGGCGACGTCTCTGCTGGCGTCGCGCGCTCGGTTCTGCATCTCGGCCGGCCATACACGAGAGCAGCTGGAGCGGGCGCTCGACTCCATCAGCGACATCGGCGATCGGCTCATGCTCAAGTACGGCGAGGCCTGAGCTTCCCTTTCCCTCTCATTTCGCTCATCTCACCGCCCCTGGAGGGGAAAGAGGGGTAGACAGCTATCCCCATTCTTCTCAACTGTGATCGTGTGTGTGTCTTGTGGTTGAGGCTGAAAGAAGTTCACCACAAAAATGATGAGGACGACAATGATGAAGGGTTAACAAACACACGATGCCATAACAAGAAGGCAAGAATAAAATGATCGGAAGATTATATCTAGAGACCATACTCGACACACATGAACGTAGAGCTCTCTTACGGGTCGATGAGGGAGACGACACCAGAGCTGAGGCAGTAGATGCCCGACCGGACGGCGAGCTTCTTGTGGGCGGCGAAGGAACGCAGGATGGAGCTGCGGCTGAGGATCTCGTGCTGGGTGGCCAGCACGTTCTCGCTGATGGCCACATCGAGCAGGCGCTCCTGGTCCACTTCCCCGGCCTCCATGGAGACCACCTCCATGGCGCTGCGCACCGCCGGCAGGATCTTAGCCACGAGGTGGGCGATGTGATGCGCTGGGTGGTTGTCATCATGGTGTTGGTGGCCGCCATCGGCCTGGGCAGCAGCCACCGCTACACGCGAGTTGGCGGTTAGCTTCACCACTGCGACCGAGTCGGGGAATGTAGGGTACCGGCGGACACGGCGCCACACTTCCCGTGGCCCAGGACGAGCAGGAGCTGCACGCCCAGATGCTCCACGGCGAATTCAAGGCTGCCCAGCGCGATTTCATCCACTAGGTTGCCGGCCGTCCTGATGACCGGTCTGATGAGCCACTTCGAGGGGGGGGGGAATAGAGCGAAAGCGATGAGGGATAGACCCTGATGGAGTACCTGACGACGAACAGCTCGCCCAGTCCCGATTCGAAGATGAGCTCGGGGGAGACCCGCGAGTCGGCGCAGCACACCACGGCGGCGAAGGGCCGCTGGCCGCTGGCCAGGGCCGTGCGGAGGGGCGCCAGCTCGCCGTGCGCAAACCGGTGGTTCCGCCGCAGCAGCTCCACCATCTTGTCCGACGCCTGCTCGTGCGTCACCTCCTGCTCTCCGCACAAGGTGACCACCCCACATACGTAGCTAAGATTGGCTGACAGCCCATACAGTGGTTCGGGGGCGGTGTCGTATATACCTCGATAAGCTCCTCTCGGGCGGTATCGACGTAGGCGCGACGCCGCTCCAGCAAGTTCCACGTCACACTGGCGACCAGGCCTCCGCAGGCCGCCAGCAGCAACCACCACGGCACCCGAGAATCAACCAGGGAGGCGACGTTTGGTGTCGGCACGCTCTCTGTCATCCTTCTCGTCACCCTGCGCTCAGATCAACTACGACCCTCGAGTACTGTTCGTATTGAGTTGCAACTCAACCAAACACTGTAACTGTGGGGTGTTCCTGTAAATGCACGAACCGAACCGACGTCGTTGCCTAATCGACGCCAGTTCGGTTCCCTTTTTCGAGGGTGATGATGATTTAGTCCACACGTCACTGACGTCAGCTATTGATTGATAGACATCAATGATCATCATTTTCTTCACTCTTAGGATCAGAAGCAACACCAACCGCAAGGCAGAAGCTACGAGCACGGCCAGAGTGCATGCGGGGCGGTGAAGAGTCGAAAATAATGAATTGCTGCATTGTGGGGAAGACAGCGCACATTGTTGTGGTGGGTCACACGGAGGGATCGGCGGTGGTGGCGCGCTGACGCTTTCGCGCCGTCTTGAACTTGCTCTTGTAGTCGTGCGAAAGCGCCTGCCGCGAACTGGCCCACTCCTCCTCCGCTTGCTCCCTGTTCCAACCACATCACCACCACCACGAATGCACACATTCAATTCAGCGATCGCCCACTACTACAACTACCCCACAACAATGAGAGGAGCTCGTGGCCGGGGCGCATACCAGTTGTCCGGTCGCATGAACGCTGGGCCGCTGTAGTCATCATCCTGGCTGTGTGGGCGAAGGCCAGTGAGTGGCGATGCAAGCGACCGCGTGGATGGGGGGGGGGATGTGGGTGTACCACGCAGAGAGGAAGCGCTTGGGGGCGACCACGGGGGCGGGTCGCTTCCGCGTAGTGGCGCCGGCGCCCGCGGGTGAGCTCGTCGTGCCAGCGGCCTTGGGCGCAGCCTTCATACTTCGGAGCGCGCTCGCAATCGCCGGGTCCACCGCCTTACCGCCCGCCTTTGTCTTCTTCGATTCCTCCACCTGTGCACCGTCATCACCATCACCATCACCATCAGCGTCACCTTCGTCGTCGAACAAGGGGGGGGAGGGCGTACGGGTGGTGGGGTGGGCAGAATGCTGAAGAGGGAGAAGGAGGCCTCCTTGGGGGCGTCGGGAGTGGGCGCTGCAGCCGCGGCGGCCGCGGTGGAGAGCATCGAGGTCCACCAGCCCCGCTCGCCCACGCGCAGGCCCGACTGATCGGTCTCGGAGGACTTGGGCTCGTCCTCCCTCTTCTCCTCCGTCTCCATCTGGTGGGCATCGCCGTGAGCCCACACGAGCGCACACACGCACGGATGAGGCGAGTGAGTGTCGTGCGCCACCCAACACGGCGCGAGTGCCATGTCTGTACATTGGTGGAGGGAGAGGGAGGAGGGGGCGTTACCGTTTCGGAGGCTGTTGCCTGGGTTGTGGTGGTGGTGGTCACGACGGTGTGTTCTTCTTCGACCACCGCCATGCCATCGAGGCCCTCTTCTTCCTCCTCCGCCGATATGAGCGCCTTTGCCTTCTTTCTTTCCTCCTTTTCCTTTTCCTTCTTCTCCTTCTCCGCTCGGGCCTTCTCTTTTTCCTCCTTTTCCTTCTCTTTCCTCTCCTTCTCCCTCTTCTCCTTCTCCTCTCCATCTTGGCCTTCTCCTCCTTTCCTTTCCTTTTCCTTCTTCTCCTTTTCAATTCTGGCCTTCTCCTCCCTCTCCTTCTCCAAGATCTTGGCCTTCTCTCTTTCCTCTTCTTCCATCTTTGCCTTCATCTCCCTCTCCAGTTTCGCCTTCTCCGTCCGCTCCTTCTCCAGCTTCGCCTTGGCCGCCTGCGCCGCCGGCTGCGGCTTCGGCTCCGCCTGCTTCGTGTCGGTGGCCTTCTGCTGTTGCTGCTGCTGGAGGGCCGCTCGTTCGGCCTTGCGCTCGGGTCCGTGCTGCCACAGGCAGGGCGCGTTCTGGCGCGACTTCTCCCACTCGGCCTTGAACTCGTCGTGCTGGCCCTGGGCCTCCTCCTCGTTGTCGTCGTCGTAGCCTCCGCCGCCGTAGCCCTCCTCGTCGTCTTCCTTGTCGTCGTCGAAGCCCGCGGGCGGCGAGCCCGGCGGCGTCGACACGAGGGACTCGATGAGCGACAGCGAGAACTCGCGCTCCCGGTCGAGCTTGGCCGACACCCGGTCGTTTGCGGGCCGAGGTGACGGCGGCCTCACAATCACCGGCTCCGCCTCGTCCGCATCGTCAGTGTCCATCGCGCCGGCGCTGGCGGCGCCAGCGGCGGTGCTGCTGGTATTGGTCTTCTTGGTGGTGGCCGTGGCGTTGGCGGCAGCGGCGGTCGATTCGTCGTAGAAGTAGGTGAGGCGCGATAGGGGCACGTCGGGCGTCGCCATCATGGCCGACGGGAAGATGGTGATGTTATGCTTCGTCTTGGCCGGATCGTGGATGAACGTCTGCAGCCCAGCCCGCCCAGCCCAGGAGCGGTGAGTGCTATTCGGTGTGCGCGAGTGATGAATGGGTGGAGAGGAGAGAGCGTACGCCGCGGCCGTTCTTCTTCTCGAGGGTGAGGACGGGCAGCAGGCGTCCGGCCTTGCCGCGCTTCCAGGGACCCACGCGCTTGCCCTCCTTGCTCTTGGCCTTCTTCTCCTCCGCGGTCTCGGGCTTGGCCTCCTCCTTGGCCTCGTCGTCGTCGCTTGCGTGGATGTGGGCCAAAACCCTGCATGTCGTGTCGTGTGCGTGTTGTGAGTGTCGTGTCGTGTCGTGTCGTGTGCACGTTCGTAAGCAACCGGAAGAGAGGTAGGTGGGAAAGGAGCACGCACTTGGTGAGCCTGGATGGCTTGGCCAGTTCTACGCGCAGCGACTGGCCCTTCCACTTGGTTCGGTTGAGCTTGGCCACGCCTGGATTCACAGGAAGGCATGCCGCGGTCAGCTCTCCTCCAGCCCAGAAAGGAGTGTGGGGGGGGGGGCGTACAAACGGAAGTCTTCTCGATGGGGCTAACGTCAACGAAAGCAAAGTTGGTGCCTGCAACCAAAATCACTCGAATTAAATGCCAATCTCGTTTTATCGTTCTAGTAAATCAGTAATCTGCTAAAATTTTGAGATAAATGAGAGATGAGCAATACCGAGGATGGGCACATGCTTGGTGTTGAACTCAACGTGCTCCACCCTGACCCCGAACGCTCCCAGGAGGTTGGAAAGGGCATCGGGGGTGACATCGCGGGGCAGCCCGCCCACGAACAGCCTGCCCGGAATGTGAGTGGGTGCCTCTGGCACCGCAGGCACCGCCGGTGTCTCTCCATCCTTCTTCGTCTGCTCTTTCTTCTGCTCCTTCTCCCCTGCCGGCCTCTCCTCCCTTCGGGGAGCCGACGCAGCCTTCATCTTCCGATCAAAATAAAATAAAATTAAGCAAGATAAATAAAGGAGTTTTGATTGATTAGCTTTGTACAAGAAGACGATCAGAACTCCTTGTCGAGGAGCTCGTCTTCGACGGAGACGCCGAGGAGGAGGAACCACACCTTGGCCAGCCAGTAGATCCACTCGTTGAGCTGCAGGTGCAGCTCGAAGGAGACCTTGTTGCGGAGCTCCTTGATCAGCAGCCACTGCTCGTGCAGGCCGTGCGCGTCCAGCTGCCTGAGCTGCGTGTCCACCAGCTCGTTGGGGGAGTGGATGTGCACCGCGTCGGGCACGTGGCTGATGCCCTTCACCGCCACCCGGGCCATGATCGTGAAGCGATTCACCGGGTCGCCCAGCTCCTTGTTCAACGCCCGCAGATAGTTTTGGTTGCTGTCGTGTGAATGTTGACCGATCGGCCGCTGATGAGCACGACCGGGCCGATGGTGGGGGGAAGATAGTGTCAAGAAAGAGGAGGAGTACCGGAACACGAGCAGTAGCTCCCTGGGCATCTGCCGCATGAGGGTCATCATCACCTTGATCTTGGCCTGAAACTCGGCTCTCACCCGCTCGAGGTCAAGTTGTGCCAAGCCTGCGGGAGGGTGACCAGGCGAAGGAGTGTGAGCTGAGGAGAGCTGGGGCGAAAGGGGAGGGACATTGTGGGTGGAGGGGGGTACCTTGTACGCCCGGCAGGGTGGAATGGTTGTAGGGACGCATCAGCACGATCAGCGAGAACATATCCCAGTCATCGTCAACGCCCAGCTTTTTACAATACTGTGCGGTTGAGAGAGAGAGAGAGAGAGTTATTATGGTCAGTTTTCTGCATACCTTGGTGGGCGTCGGTGGTGCGTGAGAGGAGCGTACCTCTTTGACCTTGTCGTCGTCGCGAATGATGAGGTTCTTCCACAGCTGGCAGTAATTGATGCGGACCTCCTCTTCCATCTCGCGGTAGAGTCCGTGGTCGAGCAGCACGACCTGGAGCTCCCTCGACTTCGTCTCGCTCCTCTTCCAAAATAGCTGTACAAAACTGCGCAGGGCGTCCCACACGCCACCATGTCGCTCCTGTTCGACCTTGCCGTGGTCCACCCACCTCACGAATATGTTGCCCGGGTGCGGGTCGCAGTGCACAAACCCGTGCAAGTAGATCTGCTCGGCCAGCGCCTCTGCCAGAGAGACAGGCAAATCGCATAAATGCGAGTCAGCAGCACGCTCTCACTCTTCATTAGTCCAGCATAGAGATAAGGGCGAGTAAGTACCAATGGCCAGGCCGGCGGCGTCTTTGACGTCGATGCCCTGCTTCTTGAGGCCGTTCGTGTCGTTGATTTTGAGCCCGTGAATGAACTCCATCGTCAGCACTCGCTTGGTGGTGAGCGGCCACTCGACCTTGGGCACGTAGATGTTTGTCTTGCCCCTGTCGTGGAAGGCGCGTCAGCCTCAAGGCCACGTGAATCATCAACATAGACAAAGACATGTGGAAAAAGGCACCTGAAGTTGTGCGCGCATCGCTCAGAGTTCCGTGCTTCGTTCTCGAAGTCCAGCTCCTTGACAAGGTTTTGCTCCAGCTCGTCGTGCATCCACGCCAGGTCAAAATCTGCGTTGTTGTTGTTGTTGTTGTTGTTGTTGTTGTTGTTGTTGTTGTTGTTGTTGTTGGAAAAGATATCACTAAGTTGACTAAAGAAAAACGAGTGTCAGAGGGCTACGACGTACGGTCAAAGAGCATGTCGGCCATGTTGAGGACCAGCCAATGCGTGAACATGTCTCCGCTGAACTCATCGCGCAAGGTCGGATATTGTATCTTCACGGCCAGCTCTCGTCCATCGTGCGCCACAGCATGGTGGACCTGCGCGTGAACGCAACCAAGCCGCTCATCAGCGACACTCTACTTTCTTTTGTGCAAATGACACGAATGGCGTTGGCGCTACCTGAGCCAGGGAAGCAGCGGCAAGAGGGATCTTGTCGAACTCGCGGAAGAGTTGCTCGGGCTTGGCGCCCAGGTCCTCTTCAATGATCCTCTGCACGATCGTGTAGTCCATGGTCGGGGCGTGGTCTTGCAGAACCTGTTGAATGAGAACGGGGCGCGTCGAATGTGAGCACCATGCACTCAGTGCAGAGCAGTGCCATGCAATGCGCATCAAAGGGAAGGCGTGCCTTGAGGGTCTGCAGGTACTCGTGGGGAATGGCGTGATGAAGGGTGGAGAGGTACTGGCCGACCTTGATGTACAGCCCCTTGTTCTGGAAACACAGCCACAGCATCCTATCCGCAGACCTCTGGTGCACCTCCGCCGTCTGCGTTGCACCCATAAGCCTTCGCGTCGCCGGCTCACCCAGCGCCAACAGCAACGTTGTACCTTTTCTTTGAACAACTCGGGATCAGTCTCTTCGTTATAACGCCACCTTCAGTAGCGAGAAAGGAGGTCAGCAAGGTTGGTCATCATCAAATTGGTCCCCCGATTAAATGAGGAGATGGCGATTTTGAGAGGACGTACCAGGTGTACTTGTAGTCCGCGGCTATGGTGGCCATGGTGCACAGCGCGCGAGTGTTGCGCATGACCACGTTGGCATTCCAGCGAGCCTGCCTCAGTAATCGCGGCTCCCAATCCGTGTCTGCCACGCCCGCCCAAGTCGCGCCGCCAAGCGTGGCCACCGTGCCAGCGCGCAGGGCCAACCTACCCCACTGTATGCGCGGTAGTCGTGACGCCTCGCCCCTTGGCAGCTGGGTGCTGTAGGAGGACAGACGTGTTGGCTGCCCCACCGTGCAGCGCCCTCCGTGATGTGATTGATGGACCAGCGTCGTCCTCACCCCACTGCTGGCATGCAGCCTTCTCATGCTCTACGAGTTGTGCTGCTTGTGGGTGGTGTGGTGCGAAAACGGAAGTTCTTCACAGGAAGAAGAGGGAATAGTTGAAGAACGCTTTTTCCCGCGTGCGCTGTGGCGATACCAGGAAGATCGGTGAAGGAGGCCTGCCCTAGTGGTACAAGGTTGTTTGGTTACACAGAGTGCCGGGGAGGAGGCGCCAGGGATGAGAGAGGCTGCGTTTGGGTTAGTGTGCATGATGCATGTGTGCGTCGATGGTCACGATCGCCAACCAAACGACAAACACGCCACACAAATAAGAAAATCCAAGTTTCGAAACACTTTCAACAGCAAACCAAACGTTCCGCCTTTCATCGAAATTTTGGTGCAACGAAGAGAAGCCAACAAAAAACCACAAAGAAGAAGCAGAACTACAGATGGATTACTTCAGAGCAGGCGGGGCTTCGACCGAGACTGAGGAACAAGAAAGGAGGAGAAAGCGCGACGAGGCGCTGGCGTGGGCCAAAAAGCGTCGGGAGCAGCGCAAGCAGAAGGAGGCTGCAGCTGCAGCTGCTGCCGAAGATCCAGATGCAGAAGGAGCTGCTGCACCCCAGAGTCAGGGGTGGGGCATGGACACCCTCAACCCGTGGGGCTCCAAACGAAAAGGCCCGCTGCCTACCAAGGCCTCCCTCCGATCCAACGAACCCCAGCCCAAGCTCTTCGGCTTCATTCCCACCTCCGCGCCGCGTACCGCACCTTCTCATCACATTTGCCACCATCCATCAAAAGATAGATATGGCCACCACTGACTGTGCTACGTGGACACCAGAGCGAGACGAGGAGATAGGGTACCAGTACGAAGCGTCGATGATGGACAAGGTGCGGTGGAGCCTCATCGACGCCAAACACAAGGTGACGCCGTCGCGCACGCGGTGCTGCTGCTGCTGCTCGTGCACGCTGTGCATCGTCGTCGGAGCCGTCATAGCCGCCATCGTCCTGGGCGTCTTGGCCATCGGCTTCATCATCAAGCACCCCCAACTCCTCGCCCTCTAGTAGGGAGGGCCACGCACTTTCCTTCTCTCTCTCTTCTGTACATACCTTCATCTTCTTCCTGTCCCCTTGCGCACACGCTACGCACGCGCACACGTGTGAATAAATAATTAAATAAGTATGTTATTGCCACGTTGTCACGGTGTACGTAGATGACACTTGCCAGGGGCGCCTCGTGTGCTTGCGTGTGTGTACAATGGAGGGTTGGGGGTGAGTGCGGCGGTTCGATCACTACCACTACTACTCCTCAAAGTCCTTGAGGAGGACCTTCTTTTCGTCCGAGTAGACGGAGAGGACGAACGAGGTCTCCTCCTTGGCCTTGAAGGTGGTCGGGATGATGGTGTACTGTCTCGTCTCCGCTCCGTTCAGCGTCCAATCGCACACCACTTCATCAACAAAAATAATGAACACGGCATGAGCTGGGCATTGAAGACGATATGACGTGGAGGACGAGCATGAGGTACCTTCGACGGCGTTCTTCCACTTGGGCACCTGGCCGATGCAGGTCTCGACGTCGGCGTCGTAGAGGTAGTACCCGATGTAGAAGTCGTAGGGCAGGGTCTGGTAGGGCAGAATCTCCTCCATGGCGTTCTTCTTCTGCATCAGCACGATCGACATCTCCACGCCCTCCTTCTTGGGGATGACGAGCGAGAAGAACGGGTTCTTGTGCCAGGTCTTCTTCTCGTTCTGGCAGCCGCCGGCAGTCTTGCCCTTCCATTCTCCCTGCGGAAGACACGCCAGAATGAATGAACGAACGAACGAACGAGTAATTGGTCTCCTGCCGGTGGGCCACAAACACGGAACGCAGACGACTGCGCTGCACGTGAGTGTACCTTGACGACTTGGGTGTACTTCCACTCGCGCAGCTGCTTCACTTCGACTTCGTCGTCGCCCTTGGTGAACACCAGCACCGAGATGCGGTCGGCCACGCCCTTGGACTTGGCGTAGGGCACCACCACCGTGTAGAACGACGGGTCGATCACTGATCGAGCAGCGAGCAGGAGACACAACGCGGCCCGTCAGTTATCGTGAGGCGACGCGTCGGTGCGATTACAAACATCAGCAAAGGCGAGACAGTGAACATACCGGCCTCGTAGGGAGTAGCGCCCCCGTGACCCAGCAGCTCAGTCAGCGAGGGTTCCTTGTGCACGCCGCCTGCAGAAGAATAGGGAGAAGCGTCGGCGACGAGCTCGAGCACAAGTAGAGCGTATACGGCCACGGTTGAGGTGGTGGGGGGCACGTACGCACGCTCTTGATGATGACGTAGCCGAGGCTCGAGTTGTCGACGGCGCTCTGGTGATGAACGAGGATGCGAACGGGCGTCGGCTTCTTGGCGCTGATGGCGATCTGAGGGCTCTGCTGCCACTCGAAGCTCAGGCCGGTGGCCTCGACGCGCAGGCGGTTGGTCCAGTCCTGCAGCAGGGCGATCTCCTGGTAGTCCTCCACGCCCACTGTCTTCATGAAGATCTGCTTGCTCTGCTCGTCCAGATCGGCCGCCGCCTCACCACACGTCATGCCCGCCTTGTTCTTGACGTAGATATTGGCGCCCTTCTCGACGAGGAGCTTGAGGGTCAGGAAGGCCTTGGCCTGGATGGCCACGTGGAGGGGCGTGTTGCCCTCGGCGTTCTGGGCGTCGATCGACGCGCCCGCATCGAGCAGGAGAGCGAGCGACTTGGGCTGGTCGTTCTTGGCGGCGACGTGGATGGGCAGGTTGCCCTCCTTGTCCGCCACCGACGCCTTCGCCTTGTGCTGCTCGCCGACACACGACGCACACGACACATAATGAGAAACTTGTGAGAGCGCGAATGGGCGAGTGCGCCAAGATCGATGCTGTACCTCGAGGAGCGCGGCGACACTCTCCGACGAGGTGGAGCAGGCGACGTGGAGGGCCGTGAGACCGGCCTTGCCGCCCTTCTTGTTGACGTCGGCGCCGTTGTCGATCAGGAGGCGCACGATGTCCGGCAGGTTGTGCTGGGCGGCGACGTGGAGCGGGTACAGGCCGTCGTTGTCCTTGACGCTGATGTACTCGGCAGCCTCCTTCTTGGCCAGCAGGGCCTCGAGGATGCTGACCTTCCGCTTGCGGATGAACGACTGGATGGGCGCCGTGAACTCGTCGCCGGTCACCTTCTCGTCGTCGTCGAGGAGCATGAGCTGCACGTGCAGCTCGCCCTCCATCGGCTTGCCCTTCTTGCCCACCAGCGGGAACCACTTGTTCAACGGCACGCCGTCGCTCACGTCGTCCAGCTTGAACACCACCTGGCCGAGCGACGAGTCCCACAGCATCTTCTCGCTGTGCAGCGATATCACCACCGACTTGTGCTGCTCGTTCACGTCACTGCCCACCAACAGCAGCAGAAGGCCAACTTCCAGCATGAGCTGTCATTGTGGCGGGGGGGGGTGGCAAGTGGGAGGGCGTGGGTACAAGATTTTGCTGCCGTCATTCCAATTGGGGTCAGACTCCTTCTTGATGACCTTGGACTTGTAGACCTTCTGCTCCTTGGCCTTGGTCACGCCATCATCGAGGCGAATGATGATGTAAGCCGCTGCCTTGTTGCTGAGTCCGCGCGCCTCGGAGGCTGTAACCATTCATTCATCGCCCAAATAAAATCCATTAATTGATCTTGTTGATTACAACGGAGGCAAATTGGCGAGGTGGTAGGACGGAGCTGGGCAAGACGGCCGACTTACCAACGATGTAAACGCGTCTCTTTCTTTCCATGTTGCACTGGACACTTCTGCTGTCGCTCGTTTGCAGTGGCAGAAAACGTTCGTTCGCGGCAACCGCAGGCCACCAGCACCAACTCAAACACCCCCCCCCAATCACCCTCGCGCAAGGGCGAGAACTGACCCCACTCACACGAGCAGCTACACTGTCTTCGTCCTTGCCGCTGGCGATCATCGCCTACACTACGCGGCCTCGTAAGTGAGCGACAACGAGAGGTGGGAAACACGTGTGGTGTGGTGAGTGGTGGAGCACTCGCATGAAAGCGTTCTTCTGTTGTTGTTGTTGTTTTTTACATTCTAAGAGTCAAGCGCCACCTCTCCCGCTGCTTCTCTGCTTGTGTGGTGGATTGAGGGGTGAAGGAAGGGGGTGCGATGATCAGCTATCACGTCCGAGAAGTCGGGCCGGTGATGCGTGTGGGTGGGAACGAGAGGAAGGCTTTACCTCAACCTAGTAATCCCTGCGGTAGCGCTTCTCCTCGTCCTCCTCATCAGCACCCACGTGACGCACGGAGGAGTGGCAGAACGGCTCCAGCGGAGGCAGGCCCGCGAACGCCCAGCCCACGAAGATGAGCATGACGCCCACGCCCAGCAGGGAGCAGCCCACTGCCAGTCCCAGCGGCCAGTACCTCTCGTCCGCCATGCCTGAAGCGCACAAAGAGGGAAAATAGAAAAGTTAGAATTAAAGCAAATAAAAATTAAATAAATATATGGATCAATCAGGGCGGTACCGAAGCACAGGCTGCCCACGAAGATGTAGGCGAGGCCGCGGCCGGTGTAAGAGAAGAGGAGGCCGAAGTAGGTGCGGAGGCCCCAGTCGGTGAGCTCACTCATCATGAAGAGCAGACCGAAGAAGATCAAGTAGGAGGCCACCACGTAGGTGCTCACGTGCAGATTATCGATCGAAAGATACTCGAACCACTGGGCGATGCCGACCAGGATGATGAGGCCCGCACAAGCCCAGGCGAGGAGCCGGGTGACGATGAAGATGATCCGGTGCATGCCGCTCACCTCCTTGGGCTTGTCTTCATAGTCGTTGTCGTTCGGGTAGTCGTGATCGATCGTCTGGTACTCCTCTTCTCGCCTCAGGTCCCGCTTGAGCGGCCTGCGCTCATCGTATTCGCGATACGAAGGGGGCGGGGGTCCACCACGACCGCCCCCACCCTGCTGCTGCTGAGGGGCGGGCGAGCCGTGCGGCATGTGTGGGGAGGCGCCGGGGGGGCGGTTGGGAGGGCCTCGAGGGGGCGCTTCCGCCCGCTGTGGCCGAGGTGGCAGGCGTCGATAGCGCCGAAGGCCCGGATTCCTGCCTATCCATAGAATTATGTATCTGTTGATCTCTACGTCAGTTCGTTCAGTTGAAGCACAGCAGGCCTTGGGCGTGTGATCCAAGCAACGGGGAGCAGCTTCCACACCTTTGCGGGCGGACTTGGCGCTTCTATGTCGACAACAATCCTCTTGACCGTTAGCTTCCCAAACAAGGAGGTCACGCCCGGCCAGGGCACACAGCGCCCACGATGCGTCTCTGTGCAGCGCCATTATTATGAACTGTGTGCCGTGCGATCACAGGGGTTCTTCGTGGAGGAGGGGCTTGTCCATCGAGTTGAGCACGGTGGTGTAGGCTGCGGCGGTCTCGAGCTCCATCCCCTGATCGCCCGTGGCAGAAGGTGCGGCGGCAGGGAGGTAGGCACGCGGTACGGAGGCGGGGCAGGTGAGCTTGGCCCAGTTGGGGTGCGGCAGTGGTCGACCGTCGGCGGCACGCGGGAGCTCCAGGGTCTCTTCCCAATAGCACCAGTTGGCCGGCTCCTCGAGGCTGATGTTCATGAGCGTGGCGCACACGACTTCGTCCTCGCTCTGTGGGTTGACAGGGTCGAGCGCGAGCAGGCGGTTGCTGTTGGCCCACTGCTCGACGGTGGAGATCAGCCGGTCCGGTTGCTTGGCCTGCAGGGTGTCACGCTCCAGCTCGGCCCGGAGTGCGCTGCGTGCCAGCGGTCCGGTCTGAGCGTCCACCACGAAGTCGTCGGGACTGCTTTCGATGCGCTCCTCCACCGTTGATCGAAGATGGCCGACCAGACCGTCGGCCTGGTTTCCTCCAAGAGACCAGAATGTCGCGTTGCCCAGGATCGCGTACTTGAACATGCCGCCCTGTCACGTCGGCCATAGAACATGAATGTTGAGTGTTTTTGTCTGGCTACATATGTAGTGGTTCAAACCAAGAAGCAGTCTGCTTACCTGAGCGGGCTGTTGGTGCTCCCGCACCACGAGCTGGGGCTGCGGACGACCGACAGGCAAGGTGGTCTGCTGGTAGGGGAAGTTCATCTCCCAAGAACTCTGGGCCTGGGCGCTCAGGGCGTCCGGCGGGCTGTTAATCAGCACACCAGTGTCAGCGCCAGGTGCACACGCCCATGGGCCAACTAGGAAGGCAAAAACAGAACTCAATTACCTGGCGGCGCTCGCATTGGCTGGGTCGCTCGTGTAGAAGCGAAGGCCGCCGGTGTAGGCTGGGGAGCAGATGACCGTGACCCTCCCCGGGTGATCGCTAATCAGGAAGAGGCCCTCGTAGCTTCGAAGCAGGGCCGACCACCACGGTTCGGCGGCGCTCTCCGCGAGGAGGCTCTCGACCAGGAGCTGCGCCACTTGCCCGGCGTCGAGTCCCTTGGACTGCACCCACTCGCGAAGGGATCGCTCGCACAGTCGGCGGCTGCCCGACTCCGCCTCCCCGGGTTTGCGCTCCCAGAGTGCGAGCACCGCCGTTCCACGAAGGCCCTTGGCGTAGTCGATCTTGCCCTTGCAGTAGTACAGCCACGCTCGGCCTTCGCCCGGCGGCGATTCGTCTCCTCTTCCCTCCTCCATGCTGTCGGTCTCTGCCTTCTCCTTCCCCTTGCCCTCGTCAGCAGGCGCCAAGCTTGCGGGCAGGGCAGGGCTCGTGTTGCGGACACCCGGCAACAGCTGCAGGGAATGGAAGCCGTAATGGAATGGTGCTGTGATGGACATCGTGCGAACAGACGTGAGGGAAGCAAGTCAAGTCAGGGTGAGTAAGGGGAATGTGAGCGTACCGATGGGTGCGCGGGAGTTGGGATAGAAGACATAGTAGTCGCGAACCAAACCCGGCGTGAAGTGCTCTTTGACGAGGGCCTCGATGTGTGCCTCCCCCCGTTGCACCGTGCCGAGGTAGAGCTGATCGATGCGTGCCAGCTCCTGAGAGCCTCCTGTCGTCATGTTGTTCAATGAGGTACGGTTCGTGAAGCGCTAGCTCGACGCTCTGCAATGATCACAGTATTGTTTACGGAAAACGTACCGCTGCCGCAAGTTGGAGCGAAGTCGCGTTCGTAGACTCTGCCTCTCGCCTCCAGTCGCCAGGGAATGAAGCCGTGGATGTCGTGGAGGTACTCACGAGGGTCCAGCGCGTTGTGCACCACCAGCTTGAATCTGTTCACACATGTTAGGCAGCGTTCCATCGCCATCGATCGTGCCGGCCTGGGAGGGATCTCTGGAGGAGGAGTACCGGGCCGGGTGCGTCTCGCCCAAGTGGATGATGCGCTGAAAGGTCTCGCGCTTGTGCCTGTCCTTGGAGAAGCGCAGGTCCCACAGGGAGCTGGCTGAGAGCGCGACGAAGAGCGACGTTGGAGACGATACTGGCATGCCCACGAGCGTTGAGCCGGCTGTGTCCTCCAGCAAATCGCGGCAAAGGTCAAGGAGGCGGTCCACGCTGGCTTTGTTGTAGATCATCGACGAGAAGAGGTTGCCCTCAGCGCGCTGCTGAAGGTGCTTGGTGATCTTGGTGATCACCAGTTCCCGCGCCTTGGCTGTCGTGCTGGCCTGCAGGGTGTGCAGCATCTCTGGCAGTTGGCCTTCTTGTTCGGCTGTCGGAGGGTCGAGAGGCAGAGCGATCTCGCGCTCGAGTTGATGCGCCACCTCGTTCCAATCGGTGTGTTGTTGTTGTTCGTCCGAGTGCTCGATGTCCGCAGTTCCGGCCTCGCAAGCCTTTCTTCGCCCGCGGCGCCGCTTGACCTCGGGACACAGACGCGCCAGGACCTGTTCGACCACTCGACGGGTGTGCGTCAAGCTCAGATCGCGCAGACCTTTAACTCGCACTTGCGCCGCCTTTTTAGTCGCAACGTTGTAGCAGCTCACCGATCCTGCCAAGGAGGCGGCACGAACAACAGCGGAGTCAGCACTTCACCGCCAGCCAAACCGCCGAGTTTCGAAAACGTACTTTGGGCACCAAAGAGCGACGAGGCGACAAACTGCAACGTGCCATCCGACGGACTGAGGAACACGAGCACAGTACTAACGGGCACAAAGTGATGAGCACCTTCAACGAGAAAGAGCAGCAACGGGAGGCGTCGAACGTACTTGGAGTCAACGCCAGCAGCGTGTAGTATCTGGCACGCAGTGGCGAGGGACATGGAGTATTCGTTTTCGGTTTCCTTGGTGCGTGGAAGCTTGTCGGGCCGCTTCTTCAGCTTCTTGGGCTTGAGCGAAAACTGCTCTTCTTCCTCGTCGTCGCCATCGCCTCCCAAGAGCTCGCTTCGGTATTGCTTGGAGTTGAACGGCAACGGGGAGATGCGGTCGGCGCTGCCGGTGAGTTTGTTCAGTTCGGCTTCGATGACGCGGATGGTGTCCTCGATTTCCTGCAGGCGTCTAGCCCTGAGCTGCTCGACACGCTGTCCAATCAGCTCTTTCATGGTCTCCTTGCGATGCGTCGGTGAGCGTTGGGCGTGCTGCTGGCTCTGATTGATTGCTTGCTGCAGACGGAGGGGAATGAGGAATCGGTCTCTAGAAAGATCGGCGTGCACACAGATGAGGCCTGATCATACCTTCTCGGCGAGCAACTCGTCCAGCATGGCCACAAGAGAGCTCACCTCTTCATCGAACTTGCCCTTGTGCTTGAGGACCTCCTCCAGTCTCGTGGCCGCCTGTCAGCGCAGTGGCAAGAGCGAGTGAGACAGAGGAAAGGGGAGGGTATTGTGGGGAGGGGGTGCGGCGGGTTGTCATGGCGGTCACCTGCGGAAGTACAGCCTCCAAACGAGAGTCGGCGAGCAGAAAGATCTCGGGCAGCAGATCTAGGATGTGCCGCCCGCAGGAAAGGGTACCGTCGCAGGTGATGTTCCGCATGCACGTCACATATACCTGACACGCAATAGTGCGAAAACGATTATTAACTCTATCACCGTCTTGGTGAGCGAATACAAGGCTTACACGGCGTGTACCTGCTCAATGAACCTGGAGGGCATGCCCTGTCGCCACCTCCAGCGGAAGAGCTGGTCGCTCTGAAGTAGTCACCGGGCGAAAAGTCTTAGTGAGAGAGGTAAACAAACTTTGCAAAGAGCTCGGGAAGGTATGTACATGAGTTGAAGATGTCGACTCGGACGAGGTCCCGGCCACTTCGATGCCCAGCATGTGCAGGAACGGGACAAACCGCTTTCTGTACAATTTACAGAGGTCGCTCGCTATGTCTGCACGTGATGGCTGATCGATCATCTTGTAATCGCTGTTCCTCCTCTCAACCAGCTCCACGAACGCCTCCATGACTCCCTCGAACTGCCACTGAATCGCACAAAGAGAGGAGAGAGAGAGAGAGCAAACATAAGCCCACGCGGGTAAGCTCACATTTTTACCAGGCGCTACGTACGAATTGAGCTTCGGGAGGTTCAGCGCGAACGACGCTCCCGCCGGCAGGGGAAGGCGACCCAAAGGGAGAGAAGGTGGGGGCCGATGGCGTAGCGACGGTCTGCATCCGCTCCGCGGCTTCCAGTCGCTCGAAATAGTGGCTTTCCGCGACATCTAGCGCACGGACGATGGCCGCATGCCCGAAGAAGACGCTCACCACCGATGGGATGGCCTCCATCGTTTGTCCGCCGTCAATGGTGTCATCGCCCGACATGACCTCTTCGGCCTCGTCAGTGTCTTCGTTTTCGCTGTCGTCCGAGTGCATGCTATCTGGGGCTGTTCCATGGGCCGAGTCTTCTGCTGAACCGCGGCGGGTGCGTGCGCGTCTGCGAGCCGGAACGAGGTCGATTTCTTCGTTTGCCCTGGTCCCCTCCTCTTCTTCGTCGTCTTCGCCGTCGTCGTCGCCATGTGCCATGGAGTGCAAGGTCTGAGAATCGACCACTTCCTCGCTGTCGTATTCGTTTTTGGTGTCTTTTTCTTCGACCATCGCTTCGGATTCGTCGTGTGGCCCCGACTCGTGGCTGTCCCCGCTGTGTGCGGCTTCCTTCCTTCGGTGCTGGATGTCTCGATACACACGGTAGGTGTGCCCCGCCCACACGAAGCGGTACCTGCACGCAAACCAATGGCACGGGCGAGTGTGAGCACTGAGCAGGAGCGGGAGAGGACCTTACAAGAAGAAAGTGCGAACCAGAGCTCGAGAATGAGCGCAGAAGTGGCAATGCGCAAATAACCCTTGTAGGAGGAGCTGTTGTCACTCGAGAACCAACCCCGCGCCGTTTTGACCCACCACACCTCCCGCTCAAACGGCATGTAGTCGGTCTGCGCAGACACACAGGCCACGCGCCACACGAACGTAAGCAGGTGGGGGTATTCAAGTGCCGCCATGCATATGAGCGCTGGGTGTAGGCGTGCCTGGTGTTGGGTACTCTTCCACGCTTCGGTGTCGTAGAGTCCCAGTATCTTGTCCGCGAGTGTCAGCTTCCGCCAGCCGTCCTGCACCACCACAGTTCAGCAATACGAACCACAAGAACGATACAACACGCGTGGGGGCTGGCGGGTTACTTGAGTCTGGTGCGCGTCGTTGACGACAGCCTCGATGTCCTTCCACTGCTCACGAAAGAAGAGCTTGGAATCGCCATCGAGCCAGGTGGCCCCACCCTCCGCGGCGAACCAGGGCACCATAGTAGGACCCGCCCCATCGTCGGGGCAGTGCATAGCTGCAGCAAAGGGGCGCTCGCCGACGGCAAAGTCGTCGTTGATAAGCCCCTCCATGTGGTCCGCAAGTTGACAGTAGTGCTGGGCATAGGCCACTGGCGGCGCCCGCACGAAGAAGGCGAAAGGCTCCAGTGAGAGCAGAGACACCGTGCGCAGCCGCTTGGCCGACTTCTGTGCGGCGGCAGCCTTCGGGCGACCACGTCCTGCTCGTTCATCTATGCCCGCGTCCTGTTGAGACTTCTTCCCTTCAGCTGCCGCCTCATCTGCCGCGCTGTGGTCAGCGAACGTGCGCTTCATGATGTGCAGCTCGAGATCTTCTTCCAATTAATCTTGAGATGTTTGTCAAAGCTACAAACATCCAATTTGTTCGAGGAAACCGCATTTCCACCATTCCATCGTGAAATTTCCCGGCCGCGAAACCTAACAACCACGATGCCTGGCAATTTCATGTCGCGAACACCAGGCAAAATGCCGGTTCGCCGCGTCAGGTTTGAATTCGTTGGTCGGAAGGTGGTCCTCGCCAACAGCAGAAAAAAAGACCGGCACGCGCTTTGGGCAACAGAAGTAGGGGGGCAAGTCAGACCGAACAAAACCACAAAGAGCGGTGGTGCGTGGATTCCGATTAACGAGTGAGGAGGGAGAGAGAAAGAGAGAGACCTCGAGAAAGGAAGCAAGTGGAAAGGTGTGCAAATTAGAGGATCCATCGACGCCGTCACCCCCTTTGAAGATAGAAGTACCTCAATGGGAAAGGCGAATTGAGGAAAACGGAAAGAGAGTGACGACCATCAAAGAACCACGAGAACAAGAGGTAAGCACGAACTATTCTGTTTGTCTGTTGTCGATCCCGTCCCGCCCACAACTCTCCTTTCTCCCTCTCTCCTCGCTAGCGCCAATGGTTTCCTTTCAGAAGTTGTAATTATACCTCGTCCTAATTCTCGCATTTTCCTCTTCAAGGCCTCGGCGAGAGACGAGGAGCTAGACGGCTGGAATATCAGCAGGAAGAATGGGCAACCGAATCGCGATCGAGAGGAGGCCTGTTCCTCTTGCCGCCGTTATGAAGGGAGATGGGATGAATGGGCACCGAACAGAAGGCAGCGATGCGAATGGCGATGAGGGAGGAGGAGGTGGCTGCAGGAAGGCGGGCTCCTACAACAGCTCGCTTCACGTCTGGAGGTTCTTCACCTCCGAGGACGATCCCCAAGCGGTGCACAACGAAGCGGTCTGTATCAACGAGTCCTTCTCCTCCTTCGACAAGAACCAGGTGTATCTGGCCCTCCACATCTACTCGGAAAACGTCGCCGCGTCGCGCCCCATCAAAATCGCGAATGGAGGCCTCAACTCCAGCGAGCCGGCGACTCTCGGCGGCGGCGGTGGCGAATCGAGCAGGGCGACGATCGAATCCCTCCTCGCCTCGTCGGTGGAGGCCTTCACGCCGCGCGGACTTGCGGCCTGCCTCGAAGAGGCTTTCATCACGTCGACCTCATCGTCGGCCGATCTGGAGGGGGGATCGTCGACATCACAAGATGACGATAATGGCGAAGCCGGCGACGCCGTTACCGGGAATAGCTCGACGGGAGCGAGGAAGGCGAGACCCAACCGCTGGCCTACAGCCTGTACGTGTGGCGCGGGAAGGACTCGACGCGTTACGCGCAGGCGCTCGCCCTCACCAAGAGCTTCGAGCTCGAGAAGGCGTTGAAGAAAGACGGCAAGAAGGCGCTGCAGCAGCTCTTCGGAGGGGAGGACAAGGTGCCGCTCTCGTCCATGTTCACCACCCACAACAACCTTCTGCTCCGCCTGCCCAACACGACGTCAACATCTACGCCGGGCGAGAGCGACGATGGAGCCCGCCGGCTCTGCACACACCGCCACGCCGACGAGGACTACGACGACGTCGACAGCGAGGACGAGGGCAACACCGACGGCGGAAGCGAGGAAGACGAAGAGAGGCCGTACTCGCGACAACACCACCTCTACCATCAACTGCTCAAGAGGCGCCGGCTCACACGGAAGAGCGCTGCCGGCGGCGAGGCCGGCGAGAACCCGTGCACGGACAGCGGATGCAACGGAAGTGTTCCGAAGCTCTCCCTTCCGCGAGTCAAGGACCTCTTCCAGGCGCCGCCACCGACCTCCCCGTCGGGACACGGCCGTGGCCGCTCCCTGTCCGCCGACTCACTCGACGCCATCATCCACACCGCCATACAGGATCTGGACTCGCCACAACCGACATCGGCCGTGGGCTCAGGTATCACCGACGGGGTGGCCCTCCTTACGGTCGACAGCCCGTCCTCCTCCTCCTCCTCCTCCTCATCTTCATCTTCTTCGTCCGGCAAGACGACCCGAACAATCACCAAGTCGACCTCGCTCACGATACCGTCGCCGTCGGTCGCGCCGCCGAGCCCGAAGAAGCTGCTCGGGAAGGGGAAGCTCAAGCTGCCGCCGATCAAGACGGAGGGGATGAGCAAGTCGGGTCCCATGCAGGCGATCCCGATCAGCGGCTTCAACCTGCAGGACCTGCAGGCCCTCCAGGAGAAGGAGCAGAGCAGCGACAGCGACACCTTCACCAAGGCCGAGGCGAACCAGCGGCAGGACAAGCTGACCAAGTACGACAGCATCTGCTCGAAGATCACCGACCAGCTCTACCTCGGGAGCCAGACTGTGTCGCAGGACAAGGCCATGCTGAAGCAGCAGGGCGTCACGCACATCCTCAACTGCGCCGGCTCGATCTGCCCCATCTACCACCCCAACGACTTCACCTACCGAACCCTCTACCTCCTGGACGGCGTGCGGGAGGACATCACGTGCATGCTCTACGACATCATCGAGTGGATGGACAATGTAATTACCTCGAACGGGAAGATCCTCGTCCACTGCCAGCAGGGCGTCTCGCGCTCGTCGGCGATGATGATCGGCTACCTCATGTGGAAGCACGGCTGGGGCTTCGAGCGGACGCACATGTACGTCAAGGAGCGGCGTGGCGTCTCCAGTCCCAACACCGGCTTCATCTGCCAGCTGCTTGAGCTCGCCAAGCGACTCAGCCTGGCGCGCGGCGGCGCCGACCGAGGGACCCGGCTCTACCAGGTGGTCACCCACACCCGACACGACCCTGACTTCGTCGTCGCCAAGCTCGCCCGTAAGGAGAACCTGGCCGAGCTCGAGGAGTCCTCCGCGCCCTCGCCCAGCTGCTACATCCTCCAGTCCCCCGAGGAGTTCTTCATCTGGGTCGGCGCCCAGTGCAACGAGCGGTTCGTCGAGGTGGCCGAGCGCACCGTGCGCCGAGTGCAGCACTTCGAGAACGCGACCAAGGTCGTCCACACCGTGGAGCAGGGCAAGGAGACCGAGGAGTTCAAGCGATGCCTCGGCCAGCTCAACCTCGACGAGCTCACCTAACCAGCCTGAGCCGCGGCGCCCATCCACTACCACCACTACCACGACCGACCACCGACCGAGAGAAGAGAGAAGAGAGACATTGAGGAGAGGAGAGGAGAGAGCGAGCGGAAGGGGAGCCTCGATCTCGGCGAGAGCGCTTGGCCTTCGGCGAAGAGCGAACGCACCGCCTGGGGTCGGCCTCATCGAGCTCGACGAACAGGGCCGGGGATGGGGGCGGGACGATGCCACCCGCCAACACACACAAACTTGTATTCCTTATTCATTTTTCCTTGTATTGCTTGAAGGTGTAAGCAGAGAGACGAAGAGAGAGAGACAGAGTGGAGAGAGCAGAAGGTGTTGTAAAGCAAAGGGAAATAGATCATTTTAGACTTAGCCTCGTCTTACTGCGTCTGTCTCTTCTTGTGGGTTCGTGCAACGCAAAAATAGTCGACAAACAAACCTAGCCGCGGTGAGTGGTGCGGCAAGATGGAGCAGCGTGGGGTCTCGAGATGGGGCAGAGCGTGCGGCATACTCACGAAACTACTATGCATTGTTATTGGGTGCACCCTCCTCGCCCTCGCTTGTTGATTCTCCATTTTCAATTGATTTTATTGTGCATTAAATCTAAAATCTTGGCGTACCGCCATTTCCTGTGCACTCACTCGCCCTTGCTGTGCGCCAAGGCTGGGTGCCTTTGGATGCGGCGTGGCGTCGTTTTGGTTCTACCCCATGAAGGTCGCCGACAGGTGCTCTCTTTCTAGCCCTCCCTGGTCGTGAGCAAGGCGTAGGGTGACTGACACCACCACGACTAGGACCTACCTCTCCGAGAACGCACTCTTGCCTACACACGCCGACACCCAGTTCGGGTCGGAGGAAGCTCGCGGCATCTACGCCTACAACACCGGCTACCAGTCCTTCCTGTCCAAGCTCGCCAAGGACAACGTACCACCCCAGGAAGCCAGCAGGTACGATCGTGCTCCCTTAGGAGGTAGCTTTCCTGCTTGGCTGATGGTCGTTCTCTCCCTGGCCAGGCGGACAGCCGTGTGGCTGGGCAAGCAGCTGACGGCCATCGGCTGCAAGGTGTACGTGCAATGCTACCGACCTCGCCTCTACCCCAGCGAGACCGGTACGCCCACACTCTCGAGCTGCAGATCGAGTATGTGGTGATGGTGGGCTGATCGTTTTGGTTCGCGTGTCGGGCGACGCAGACCGGCAAGTGGCGAGCGACGACGTGGGCTACAACGTCTACGCTGTTCTCTCCTCTCCTCGGGGCGACGGCACTGAATCGCTCGTGCTGAGTTCGCGCTACGACACCGAGCCCAGTGCGTGCTTTCCTCCTCTTTCTCTTTGGTTTCACGCACCACAGTGAGCTCAAGCTCTCTCTCGTGGGCTGCCGCCCCCTAATCCTTCCCTGCTCAACCACCGGTCACCAGGCCGCGAGCAAATCTTGACCGGCCCGCCAGTCCTCCTGGGACTTATGAAGCTCTTCGAAAGTACGTGCGCCCCACCACGCTCTGGCTACTCCTGCGGGCGAGGTATGACCTCCTTGTGGGGCGCCCTTTCCCCGTTGTAGGTCGCGCGTGGCGAGACAAGGAGTTCGTGGCCGTGTTCACCGACGGGCGACACCGGGACGAGGGCATCAAGGCGTGGCTCAACAGCTACCACTCCACCGAGCCGTTTGTCTCCTGCCTCGACCACGTCAACAGCACCACCAAGAGTACCGCCTCTCCCACTTCGTCCTGTCTCGTTGTGTCAGCGCTAACTCTGCGACGTTGGCCCCCCTCCCTCTCAACCCCAGTTGCGGACAAGTTGAGCCAATGGACGCAATTCGGATTCCAACGCGCGGGGACCATCATCGCTGCGGTCAATCTCGACATCCGTACGACTCGCCCGAGCGAGCTCACTCTCCTGGCCGGTATGTCAGTGGCGCCCCCCTCCCCCCAACATTGCATTGCAATGGGCGACACTCACACGCACACCGTGTCGACCCCATCCGCAGAGGGAACCAACGGCCAGCTGCCTAATCTGGATCTCATCAACACGGCCGTCCGCAACGCGCGCCGCTCCGCTTGCCAGATCCACATGCCCAGCGTGCGTCCATTCTCTCTCTCTCTCTCTCGCCACCCACCAGAATTTCCTCCCGCGCTTGCCGCGTTGGACTGGCGCGTAAACTTACGTAAGGGAGTTGCCTGTTGGGTGCAGGACTATGCCCACACCCTCGTGGCCAAGCTCCCGACCGCGCTCACGCAGGACGTGCCGATCGGCAGCGATCGTCTTAATCTCCTCAACTTCATCATCTCCCTTTCGATGGGTACCGGATCGGGCGACCACGCCGCCTTCACCGCGTACGCACGCCTCCCCCCCTCTCCCACCACACATCTCCTCTCTTCTCTGTCTTCGCTTGGTAAGGGCGCAGGCTGACTCAGCCTCGGCCACACACCAGACACCGCATCGACTGCATCACCCTGCAAGCGCTGGGCCAAGAGGACGCGGTCAAGAGAGAAGACGTGACCGCCGTCAACGCGCTCGGAAGGTACTATTTCCCCGAGTCAGTCAGGAGAGTGAGAGGTGGTTGATTGCCTGATCCCCCTCCCCCCCAAAACAGAACGCTGGAAGGCACGGTGCGTTCGATCAATGGATTGATTGAGCGCCTGCACCAGTCGTTCTACTTCTACCTCCTGCTCGACGTCGACATCTACGTCCCCATCGGCTACTACACCGCGTCGCTGTGGCTCCTCCTTTGCCCTCTCATCATCAAGGTACCCTGATCCGCTTTGCGTGTACACGACAAGGCGAACCCAAACGTCTGATGGTGACACTTGAAATTGGGCCGCAGTCGGTGTACCTCCTGTACTCGTTCGCGGCTGCCAAGGGTCCGTGGGCCTTCGATCTGGCGCGCTTCACCGTTATCGTCGCGGCGTGCATCATCATCTTCTACCTGCCCTTCGTTCTCCGCCACTTCATCGACCTCTACGAACATGTAAACCTCCCATCCCCCTTTCTCTTTGCGTTGCTTTGCTTTGATGAGGGTGGACCGACGGGGTGGTGTGGCGCTGACACGTTGGGGTGGGAACCGACCAGTTGCTGTTCGCCTGGTTCGGCCTCACGGCGCTGGTCATCGCGATCTGGCTCTTCGTGCTGCTGCCCGCTCTAGAAAAAGCCCTGCGACCCTACCTCCCCACCTACACCCTCGGCGCCTCCGCTAGTACCCTCATGTCTCACCCAGTCCCGGCTCCCTGGTCCCGTCTGATCGCCCCGTTGCTGCTACCACCTCAGAAGAACGAAGGGACTGGACCGCGGGCGCTGGCGTCGCGTTGAGCACCACCCTCCTCTTCCTCGCCAACTGCTCTGTGCTCAACTTCAGCTTCTGCGTGATCGGTACCTTGATTGCTGCTTGCCCACTTACCGCGCCACGCCACCACACCACACATGATTGAGTCTCAATCAATGATCTTGCTCTGTTTCTCATGTAGCGGCGATCGTGCTGAGCCCGGTCTACGCGCTCATCACACCGTCGGCGTCGCGGCTGATGAACGTGCTGCAGCTGCCGATCGTGTTGGTCTTCTCGCCGTGGGGCCTCATGTTCCTGCTGTCGCGGGTGCTCGAGGAGTCCTTCGTCGCGACCTGCCTGCGCGTGCTGGCGCACTTCATGGAATACTCGACCCTAACCTACACCTTCCTCTTCTTCCCGCTCCTCATCACCAACCTCACCTTCCTCCACCTCCTCCTCACCTCCGCCTCCCCCGTCCCGCCCCTTCCTCCTCGTCGCCCGCCACACACCCACCCAAGTAGAGCTGAAGCCAGAAGTCGCAAAGAAATAAAAAGAGAAGAAGAAAAAAATAGAGAGAAATGTACGCGTGCAGGACCAGTGGTGATGGTGACTGATGAGGAAGTGATGATATGTACAATGGGGAGGACATGGTCAGGAGATGTCGTCGTGGAGGAACTGGGAGTAGATGCCGTCCAGGAGCTCGTCGAGTACGGGCGGCGTCTGGTACTCATCGAACTGCAGTTGGCTGACATCCAGGCTGAGCTGCGACGGCAGGGCAGCCGGATGCGTGACAGATGGATGTTGTGGCTGCTGTGCTTGGTGGGTTTGGCGCTGAGGTTGGTGGGCTGTCGCGTCTGCTTCATCTTCGGCGGAGGCTGGCGATTGTGCCGCGGGGTCATCGCTGTACTGCCAGTTGTCGATGACCGAAACGCTCCAGGAGTACTCGCCGCGGTCGTCGTAGAAGGCCTGCGATCGGCTGAGGGTGTGCAGAACCCTGCCGTTGCGATCGATCATGGGGCAGGTCACCACATACACAGGGCTCACCCGCTCCGGACCCAGCCTGTCCCACTCTTGGAACCACTGCCCCAGCGTGTCGTGCAGGTACGTCGGGTACAGTCGGAACGTATTGATCTCACGCAGCTCCTCCTGTTTTCGGAAATCGCACACACAACACACGACACGACACGACACGACACGACACGACACGACACGACACGACACGACACGACACGACACGACACGACACGACACGACACGACACGACACGACACGCACGAAACACAACCCACGTCAACACCGGCGCAAACCTGAAGGACGCGTGGTGAGATGGTGAGTAAGTTACCCAGGAGTAGTGGAGGAGCTTGCGGAACTGGTCGTCGGCGGCGACGAGGAGGGGCTTGCGCTGGTTCTTGAAGAACTTGTCGTAGCCGGGCAGGGGGAAGTCGTGCTTGGGCAGGTAGGCCTCTGCCGCCGACGCCATGCGCTCGATCATCCACGGCTTGTCGAAGCTGCCCAGCAGGTTGCCCGACGGCAGGATGGCCACGAGCGTGGTTTGCGTGAGGTCGACCGACGGCTGCTGACTCACGCTGGCCGGCAGGAGCGATGTGGTGGGCGCCTGCATGCGCGGCGAGCTGGGCGTGTCGGGGGCTTGGCAGGTGTGATTCATCATCGACATGAAGCCGGCGAGGGTCGACTTGAACTGCGAGCTGAGCACGTACTTGGGGAAGTTGAGGTGGCCCGGCCGCACCGGCGGCGCCCACGAGCTCTCCGGCTCGGCGAGGAAGCTGCCCGCGGTCGTGCCAGCCGGCCCGCGGCAGGAGCTGCCGTAGGACGCGAGCGCACGCGACGAGACCGACAACGAAGCGGCGAAGGGCGCAGACGACGACGACGATGACGAAGACGGAGGCGATGACTGGGCCGAGGAGGAAGGGGAAGAGTCGGGAGGACTGCTGGTGATGGAGGAGGAGGAGGAGGAGGAGGCAAGGCGCTCCATCTGGCGCTCCATCGCCGTCTGTCGCTCTTGCATGTCGCTCATCTGGCGCCCGAGGCCGGCGCACATGCCACGCAGCTCGCGCAGCTCTCGCAGGACGTCGCGCAGCATCGCGCTCTCCTCAGAGATCTGGCCGCGGCTGCCCATGCCGCCGGCCTCCTCCTGCTGTGGCGGCCGCGGGTGTGGCAAGAGCGGTGGTTGCTGCGCCCCACTCACGCTGCCTACACAAATAAATTTGTTATATTAGGGAATAAATATTAATATTGTTAACATAATATTAAGAATTTGATTTATATGTTTAAATACTATTAATAATATTATTGTTCAACAACCAAAAGCGTACCGGCAGGGGAGAGGGGAGACTCTGCAGGGAGCTGACGCGCCATCTTGGCGGGGCGTAGAGGCCCGAGTGGGCTGGGCAGGAGAACGCCGCCGACGGGCATCGCCGCAGCAGTCGTGGTTGCAGAGGCAGCGAAGGGGATGGAGTAGGAGTAGGAGGGGGGAGGCTGCCTCGTCACGGACCGGGGTGGACGAGGGGCGGCCCCGCTTGCGAGGGCGCTGTGGGGGGTCGGTGCACCTGTGGCCCTCGCCCGCCTCCACGCAGCGGCTGCATGGCCGTCCGCGATCGCACGACACATGGCGCGCCTGACAGGTGGCGCAAGGCCGCCCGTGCAGGTGCCACATCTTATTCATGGGTTCCGTTGTGGAGAGAACAACAAAAGCAGGAGAAAAAGGGTCAAAAACAGAGAAAAAAAGAAAGCACCTGTTGGTTGATTTTATCCTTTTATTTTTATTTCTCCGACGGAGACAATCATGATCCACTCTCCCTGGTCCACCGAGCCAGCCATTCTGCAATCGTACTGGTGCCATGGGTGAGGTGAGTAGGTTTGTGAGCAAGCGCTGAAGAGGAAGGAGAAGGTGAGGGAATCGGTACTGTTCAAACTCGGCCTCCGTGGCTGCGTCGTTTACCAGCACGACTGATGAAAGAACGACAAAGGCGGCACAGGTGAGCCTCGGGGCATTCGTGGCGAGTTGGTGCGCTTCGGGGGGCGCGTACCGTCGGCGATCTCTTTACAACCGAGGAGTTGCTGGCTAGCTGGATTGGCGGAAGAGAGCTGGGCGTTCTCCGCCGCCACGAACTCCTCAAACCCGCCCATGTCGCCTTCGCGAGCCCTGGCTTTGACCCTGACAAAGGCGACGGAGCAGATGGCGCAGTGATGTCGCGTGAAACAATGTGTTCACATTCACCCAAGCACGACGGGAGACGTCAGGGGGGTACCTACCTTTCAAACCGCACGCGGGCGGGAGCGTCCAGGAACACGAGACAGAATGCGCCTTCGCAACCTCGGCGCAGCTCGTCGACTTCGGCTGGGTGGCGGATAGACGTGACAACATACTTCTTTGCTGCCTTGTCGTGTGCCATCTTGCTGCACGCCATCTTGCCCAACACGCCAGAACCGTGTGCTTCGCGCAGCTCATTCCCCACCTGGCACACAGTGCGGTGAGTGCATGTGCGGCTGTGGCTGCGAGTTTGAGGGGGTACACACAGTGCGCAGTAGCTCGATGGACGGTGCTTCGTGTCGTCTGCGCACTTCTTCCCGCAGGTGGTCGCTCAAGGAGATGTGGGTGAAGCCCTGGGAGCGCGTCAGGTAGTTTGCAAAGGTGTCTAGGTGGGGGGTCAGTGCTACTCCACTGGCCAAAAGCCCACGCGAATGGGGGGGGGGCAGTGAACCTTTACCAGACCCCATGAAGCCTGTCACGCCAACCACCAAGCGCCTTTTCATCTTCTCTGCACTCTGCGCGCTCGTGGCCAAGAATTTTGTTATTTTTCGTTTGTTATTTTTCGTTTTTATTTTTTGGGATTAACGAGTACATGAGATACGTGAGATGTGAAGAGGGGGCTAAGGTGAGTCCCCCTTGATGGTGATATGGTATAATCGTCGTCGCATCCGATAGCGGTCGCGATCGCGGGAGAGGTCGGAAGCAGTGCTTGCATTCTATCTACATTCAGAGGAGGCGCGATGACGAATATGGTGGCCAGGAGAGAGAGGACAAGGCCTCTCTCTTAGAAGAGGAGGCAGCCCTTCTTCTTGCCGCCACCGCCGCCGGCGTCCTTGCCGCCAGAACCGGTCTTGCGGTTGATCTGCCGGATGAGGTCGAAGAAGATCTGCTCGACGTTGATCTTCGTCTTGGCCGACGATTCGAGGAAGACGCAGTTGAACTTCTTGGCCAGCGAGTCGCCCTGCTCGGTCGAGATGGCGCGCTGGTCCGTCAGATCGCACTTGTTGCCGACGAGCACCATCGGTACGTCGTCCATGTCCTTCACGCGCAGAATCTGTTCCCTGAGGTCGGGCAAATCGTTGAAGGTCGAGGGGGCGATGATGGAGTACACCAACACGAAGCCCTGGCCGTTCTTCATGTACAAATCCCTCATAGCTGTGCAAGGGGGGGACTAATGAGTAAAGAAAGAACGCAAAGAGAGAAGTTGGATTGGATCAAGGGATTGTGGGGGGGGCGTTACCGGTGAACTGCTCAGTTCCTGCAGTATCGAGGATCTCGAGCATGCACTGCTGTCCATCGACTTCCACCTGCTTACGGTAGGAATCTTCGATGGTGGGATCGTACTGGTGAACGCCAATGATGATGAAAAGTGAGAACTTGGCTCAAGAAGGCAGCAAAAAGTGGAGTTGTTGTTGTACTGCTCGACGAAGATGCCCTGGACGAACTGAACGGTCAAAGCCGATTTGCCAACGCCACCGCTTCCCAGAACGACAATCTTGTACTCCAACATGTTGTTGTTGTTGTTGTTGTTGATCTAACCGATACTATCAAGTCTTCCGATCTGAAGGGGGTTTGGATGATGGGGAACACCGCAAAGAGCGAAGAAGAACGAAGGAGAACAAAAGACGATGAGAGTGATGTGATGATGCACGAAGAGCGACAACGCAAAAACTAAAGTGGCTGCGGGCCAACCAGAAGAAGCACGAGGAGGCGAAGGGGCTTCACGAAAGGAAGAGCGAAAAAAGAGAGGGTCGACCCTTACCAGGTGAGTTGGTTGGTTGTGGATGTGTGGCAACTCTCTTTCACTCCTCCGCGTTCTGCTGTATTTTTTCCTCCAAACGTGCAGGGCGAGAACAACTGGTGCCTTTGGTCTCTTGGCTGCTTCCCCGGTGCCGCTCTTGGTTTCATTGCTCAGCCACGGCGCCCATTGGCAGGCGACGAATTGAGGCCAGGCATTCGCCTAATGACAAGGGGGGCTCCGGAGACTCACACGGCCACGTCGTCCGCCTTCTTAACGTGCGGTTACCAAGGCAGAAGTCGACAGCAACTGGACCGAAACTTCTGTGCAAGTCCATGCAGCCAATCAGAGGCTTTAATGCGCCTCCCGATTGGCGGATTAGGATGCTAGATCTGCCGTTTTGCTTCCGACAAGAAGACAGAAAGAAAGAGACAGAATTCAAAGATGGAAGCAACAACGCGCGGCCGACACGTCCCAGCGGGGGTGCAAGGGTCGGGGGACTACGCAGGGGCCGTGGCTCCACGCGCCCCCCATACCACCCAGCGGGCCTTCGTTTCGAGCGGGGTGGGCTTCCCGCCCCAACTGCCCTCTCTTCGTCTCGCCATGTCGGACGCGAGCGGCGCTTCTTCAGCGTTTTCTTCAATTATGACCTCGTCCTCCGCTATCCCCGGTTCCCTATCAGCTTCTTCATCTTCACCTTCACCTTCGTCATCTTCATCTTTGTCTTCGTCCCACCCGTCGGCCATCTTTCCGTTGGGGTGGCCCTCCCTCAACACCGGCGGTCTCGGCGGCGTGCCCCTCCTCCAGACCACCCAGCTCCCCGCTTCGGCTGCGGCTGCGGCTACAGGCGCGCCCCTCGCCGCCTGGGGGTCGACCCCACCAACGCAACCCGCCGGCCAGGTCCTGGCCCAGCCGCAGGGCCTCGGCGGCCAGCGCAGCGGAGGACTACCGTACCCGTACCCGTACCACCAGCAGCAGCGGGTGCTGCAGGTGGTGGCGCGGCTGCCGGGCCTCGGGTCGGTGTCGGTGTGCGTCGAGGCCGGGAGCAAGGTGCAGGACCTGATCATGTGCATCGAGACGCAGGTGTGGGGCGCGTGCGGCGTGCCGGTCGAGGTGCGCAAGCTGAGCGACTCGCTCGGCATCGACCTGCCGCCCTCGTACGAGGTGGGCAAGCTCCTCGACTCCAGCGACGACAGCGACCGCGACGCCGACCAACACTACGTCGTCCACGCCCACTTCCGGCGCCTCGACACCCACCCGCTGCCCTCGCCCATCTTCTCTTCTTCCTCTTCTTCCTCTTCATCAGCGGCCTCTGCCACTTGTTCTTCTTCTCCTCGCACCCGCGGCGCGGCCAGCTCGGCTCCGATCTCTATTCCCAACAATGTCACCGCCTCTTCTTCGTCGTCGTCGTCGTTGTCGTCTTCGTCGGCGACGTCCTGTTCGCCGACGTCGACGTCGCCTCGCCAGCGCGTGGCGCAGCTGGCCTTCGTGGAATCGCCGCCCACCAAGATCCTCCAGAACAAGGAGTTCTGTTTCACCGTCGCCTTCACCCTCCCCTCAGGTTCACCCGCCGCCTTTTTCGCTCTCTTTCGTTCTTTCTTCGCTTTCGCTCTTCGTTCTTTGTGCGATAGCGTTTTTGCTGACGCCGGTGGTGGTGGTGAACAGACACGCCAGAGGAGGCGGAGCAGGCGTGGCGAGGCCCGGACGCGGGGAAGTTGCTGAAGGTGGCCGTGGCGTGCGAGGCCGGCGAAGCGGTGCCGGAGCAGAACTTCACGGTGCGGACGATGGTGATGATGGAGGGCAACAGCAAGGACATGATCGGCGTGTTCGGGCGGCTGCGGGTCAACTCCTACTACGGGCGCAAGCGGTACCTGATCCGCGTGTTCTGCGCCGACGCCGTCGGCTGGCGGAGCAACACGCTCACCTCCGACCCCGTCACCGTCCTCTCCAAGAAGTGCAAGCACCGCACCAAGCGCGCCAAGGACGCCACCGACGAGGGCGACGCCGAGGACGCCGACGACGACCAACCCTCCGCCGCCACCTAATTCACGGCCGCTGGCGCGGCATTTGTGTCCTCCCAAATGTAATCGATAAACAACCCGCCACATGGTTCTACTTGGCACAACAACACAGGCGATAGGTTGCTAGCACAAGCCTGTGAACCGTGAATCTCAGTTACCGAAAATGAGGGGCACCCAGCGACAAGGTCATGCTACTGAGTAGCTTGTCCTTTCCAGCGACCCCCAGACAGACCACTTACCAGCAGCAGCAGGACACAGGCCTCACTCACACATCCACAAGTGAAGCGGTGATGGCTTCGTGCGAAGGAAAGAACGAAGAAGAGCGGAAAGCGAAGAAGAGCGGCAGCTTACGGCTGAGGAAACCCAAGGACCGCCCCAAGCTGATGGACCTCCAGCCTGCGCCACCCACCACCTCAGCTTCGGAGGGAGCCGTCGAGGTGCTCCAGCCGGGCAGAGGACGTGCCGACTCAGCAGCCGCCACCACTACCACCACGACCCCACCAGCCGGCGAAGAGGGTACTGCGACGGATTCGGCGACCAAGAAGCGGCACCAGCGCTCGCGGTCGGTCGGGAAGGGAGGCCTCATGAACCTCATCGGCCTCAAGAAGAAGACGACGCAGAAGAACAGGCAAGGTACCGGCGCCACGACGCAGGCTGACGGGTGTGGTCGTCACGGCAACCACGCTGCACCTCTGGTGGATGCCGAAGAGGGCGAGCAATCGAAGAAGACCGTGAGCGCCGTAGTTACCAGCACCGCGGACAAGAGCGCCCAAGGGCCACGCGCTGATGATGACGTGGACGGCGAAGGCGATGACCAGAGTGCGCCCGAGACCGACTCGTCGTCGGCGGCCGACGAGCAGCCCCAGCCCACGGCCGCAGATACGGAGGAAGACGACGCCGATTCCTCGGAATTGGCGGTGGCCTCATATCGGTGTCGTGGCACTCGTCGAGCGGCGCCATTCGCCGCAAGCTGCCGCGCTCCTCGTCGTCCCTGCAGGAGCAGGCCGAAGCCGACGACCCCCGGCCGTCGTCTGCTGAAGATGCGCCGCCGGGGCGCCCGGCCGCCTCCAGGCCAGTCTCGGACTACGGGGCGTCTTCGTCGAAGCAGATCAACCGGAGGAACCTGTCCGGACAGGTGAAGTTGTTCCCTCCGCTGCCGTCCACGCCCGACCCGGCCACCACGAAGCAGGCCGAGGCCGGCTCACCAGCGCCGACGGTGTCGGTACTGGCCCGTGCGGCTGATGCACCGGCGCCAGCTGGGCCGCCGGTGCCGGCTCTGCGGTCGCACTTGTCGGCGGTATCGGTGATGCATCAGACGCGGCTCTCAGCCCGCAAGCGGATGACGATGGACCCCGGCGCGCTCAAGGCCCTCTACGCGCAGGACCCCGCCTTCCAGCGCCGCCTCTCCAGCACCACCACCAGTGTCAGCGCACAGGTGAGCGACCAGACCACCAACACTGGGTTGGTGGGTTGGTGCTGATCAGTTGGTGGGTGGGCTCTGCAATGATGGTCCAGGTCCAGGCACCGGTTGTTGAGGGGCCGGAGGTGCTGCTCGCGCTGCAGACCTTGGCCGAGCAGGGGATCGAAGAAGACGATATCTGGAACGGCAAGCCCGGTACTCACCCGCACACACACACGCACTGCAAAATTCAACCTGACCGTTGTCGCTCACCCACCTCGCAGAGGTGTTCCCCTTGCTGGAGCCCTTCAAGAACGAACTCAAGAAGGCCGTCGGTAAGTAGCGCTGATGCCCTTTTACTGCGGGTTCTGTCTCTTTGCGGCCGATGACGTTCCACTTTGGGTTTGGACGCGGGTTGTGTGCAGGGGTGGGCTGCAAGAGCAGCGCGGTCAACTTCCTCCTGCCGGACATTTCGTTCTTCGGCGAACTCAAGGCCAAGACCTTCAAAGTCAACAACCTCCAGCCCATCGCGCACGTACGCTGCACACACACTATCATCATCTCTCATCTCTCGCATCGCTGCGCCAGCACTCACCCTCAGGCATCGCTGGATTCTCTTCTGCAGCTGCTGCACGCCATCACGGCGAAGCTGGGCGGCAAGTCCATGACCCTCCGCCGCTCGTCCTTCGCGCTGAGCACCCTCGCTGGCCATCAACTCGACCCTCGCGAAGTCCTCGCCAGGTAACTAACTACTCCTTCTGCACCCCTAACCCTGATCGCCAAGCTGACGTTCGTGGTGGTGGGTGGTGGGGCAGCTACGGCTTGGGTTCGATCCTGCAGATGTGGGAGCTGAGGATTGTGGTGCTGAAGCGGGGCATATCGGGCGTGCACGCGGCAGTGGACAAGAAGCCCCTGCCCAACCCGCAGCAGCTGATCTTCGAGCAGGTCAAGGGCCTCCAGAGCCAGACCGCCGACCTGGGCCAGCGCGTGGGCCACGCCGAGGCCGAGCAGCGGCAGATCGAGGCCCGTATGGAGGAGCTCGCGCGGGAGATCGAAAAGAACGATCGCGAACGAGAAGAGGCCCGTGCGGCTGACGAGGCCGAGAGCCAGCAGCGGCTCAGGCGCGAGTGGCGGCTCGACGTTGAGGGCGGCATCGAGCGGCTCCGGGGCGAGCTAGCGCAGCGCGTCGAGCAGCGCGAGGCGAGGCTTCTCTCCGAGGCCAAGGAGCTGCGCGACGAGCTCGAGCAGGAGCGCGGCCAGGCCCGGGAGAAGGAGGACCGCCTCACGTCGGCCCTGGCTGCGCTTGCGGGCGAGGTCGAGGCGATGCGTGCCCGCGAGGCCCAGGAGCGCCAGCGTGTGGAGTGCCTGGTTGCGGTCTTGCGCGAGGAGATGGAGGAGCGCGAGCGCGAGCGCACCCAACGGGAGCAGGCCCTGCGGGAGGAGATCGAGCGCGCGCAGGCGCTGATGAAGGGCGGGGACGAGGCCAAGCAGGCGCAGAGCGAGCTCGACGTGGCGAAGGTGGTGGCCGGCCTCCAGGCCGAGAACGACCGGCAGCGCAAGGAGCTGGTCAGGCGGGTGCACGGCGACTGGGAGCGGGAGAAGCAGGCGCTCGTGGCTCACCTGCAGGCCGAGTGGGAGCGGGAGACCAGGGCCACGGTCCAGCGGCTGCGCGAGGACTGGGAGCTGGAGCGGGCCAAGGAGCACGAGGCCCTCGCGAGGCGGGCGCGCGAGGAGCGCGAGGAGAAGCAGCGTGAGCTGGCGGAGCGCGAGAGGCGCGAGGAGCGGAGCCTGGTGCAGCAGGAGAGCGGGAAGGCCCTGCGCGAGGTACTCGAGACGGTGGCCAAGCTCCAGAGCCACCTCGAGGCCTCGGAGAAGAAGGTCGAGCGGCAGGCCAAGGCCCTCGAGATCCTCGACAAGCGCGTCAAGGCCGCCGCCGTAGCTCCTCCTTCCGCGTCGTCTTCTTCGGCCGTGACCCCGCCGCCTCCGCCGCCGCCCACCGTAGTCACACCCGCCGCAGCCCTGTCCATCATCGCCAAGCCCGCTGCCTCCAAGCGACCCGCACTCAAGCGGTATCCCCTCCGTCCTGGCCCGGGGTGTGTGGTTGGGCTGTGCGTGCGTGTGCTGACGTGCGTGCGTGCGTACTGTTGGTCGGGGGCGCCACCGTGATTGCAGGGAGGACCAGAGCTGTGCCAACCTGCTGCTGGCGGGCCTGCAGAAGCGGTTCTCGGCGATCCAGCAGAGCCAGGCCGAAGAGCTCGAGGAGGCGGACGACGCCTCGTGGCAGTACACCCCCTGAACGAACAGCGACCAAGCAGGCAAGATCCTCGGGAGCCGATTCGTGGTGTATTGTAGTATATAAAATAATAGTAGTGGTGGTGCCGTAGAATGATAGGACAGTGTTTGTTTGTTTGTTGTTTGTTGTGCGGCGCGAAGCGAACCTTGCTCTCTCTGAACAAGATGGCCGACGTGGTGATCATTAGGCCATGATCTTGTTGTAGCCGTCGAGCGCGGCAACCTGGTAGGCCTCGGCGAAGGTGGGGAAGTTGAAGACGTTGTTGGTGAAGTAGTCGATCGTCGCCCCCATCGCCAGCGCGGCCTGTCCGATGTGGATGATCTCCGTTGCGCTCTCTCCGATGGCGTGCACGCCCAACACCTTCGAGACGTTCAGCGGTTCGCGGGAGTGAGACAAGGGGCGTGCTGCGATGGGGAGCGCGGTGGCGATGTTTGAATGTATACCTTGCGGGTCTCCTGGTGGAAGAGAATCTTGAGCATGCCGCCGGTCTCGTCGCCGATCATCATGCCCTTGGCGATCTCCGAGTAGCGCGCGATGCCGTACTCGTAGGGGATGTTGTTCTTGGTCAGCTCGTGCTCGGTCTGCCCCACCATGCTGATCTCAGGAATGGCTGCGCGAAAGAAGAAGGAAAACGAGGTTAGCTACGAAAGCTCGCAGGCAGGAGTGGTGTGTGGGAAGAAGGAGGGGGCGAGTACAGTAGATGCCGTAGGGGATGAGGCTGGGCTGCACGCGGGCGCACTGTTGGCCCCACATGTGGCACACGGCCAAGCGGCCCTGCAGCATCGACGACGACGCGAGGGACGGGAAGCCGATCACGTCGCCGGCGGCGTAGATGTGCGGCACCGCCGTTTGGTAGTGCTCGTTCACCCTCAGGCGCCCTGCCCGGTTTCAACGCGTCAGTCAACGGCGTCGGCGCAGGTGGGTGAGACACGAGTGTACCTCGAGCGTCGGCGGTGAGGCCGGCGGCGGCGAGGTTAAGCGAGTCAGAGTTGCACTGCCGCCCCACGGCGTACAGGAGCGAGTCGCCGATCACGCGCTTCCCGCTCTCCAGCTCGGCAATAACGCGCTTGCGCGCCTCGTCGACCTTCACGTTTTTCACCTGAACACGATACCCCAAGAGGGACGGGTGAGCCACTCCCTCGGGAACACACACGCACACACACACACAACACACACACAACACACACATACACACACACACACACACATGCACCACCAACCGTGCGTCGCTATGGGGTGGTGGGATGGACAACCTTTTCACCCAGCCTGAACTTGCCTCGCGCCTCACGCATGTGGAAGACCAGGTTGTCGACGATCTCGCGGTCCACAAACTCCAGCAGCTCGGGCCTCTGATCGATCACCGTCACCTGCGTGTTGGCCAGGGAGCCCAGCATAGCGGCGTACTCGATGCCCACCACGCCGGCCCCGACCACGATCAGGTTGCGGGGCATCTCTGCAGCGCACACCAGAGCACACCAAAGAAATGATGAGAAAATGGCAATAATGCTGCAAGCAGGCGGCTGGGAGGGCGATCGGGGCCTGCGCGCACCGGAGAGGTTGAGGATCTGGTCGGCGTCGAAGATGTACTTGCCGTCGCAGGGGATGTTCGGGTCGTGGGCCGGCCGGGTACCGCACGCCACCAGGATGTGCTTGCCTCTCAGCTTTCCCTTCGTTCCATGCGAATCGCTGCACAGCGGAACCGGCAAGGTGTTGTGTGTGTAAGTGTGTTGTGTGTGTGTTGTGTCGTGTGTGTTGGTTGAGAAATGCATTTGGGAGTCCGCAGGTCAGACCACGACGGAGCTGGGAGGGGAGGGCGGACCTGACGAGGATCGTGTTGGCGTCCCAGAACGAGCCACGGCCTCGCACATGGGTGACGTGGTTGCGGGTGATCTGGTTCATGATCACCTCCTTCTCGCGCTTGATCACGCTCTGCACGCGGTAGGTGAGGTCGGAGAAGTTCCAGTTCTCCTTGGCCGTGTAGCTCTTGCCGTAGAAGAACCGCTGCTTGAATCCGCTCAGGTACAGAATGGCTGCGTTGTGCACACCATGCGCAGCACATACCGCCAGCGCGGTGAGCAAGAGCTGTGATCGAGCGCGGCGGGTGGGCGTAGCGGGAGAGTGAGCACCTTCGCGGAGGGTCTTGGAGGGGATGGTGCCGGTGTTGAGGCAGATCCCGCCCAGCCACGCTCCGTCGTCCACCAGCGCCACGCGCTTGCCCAGTTTCGAGCTCTATCCACCACCACCACGTCGACCATCAGTCTCACTCACTCACTCACCAATTAAGGCCATCATTATCACTCTGAGGGGTGGAGACGAACCTGAATGGCGGCCTTTTGTCCGGCCGGCCCGCTGCCGATGACGATGAGGTCGTACTCGGGGATCATGCTCTCCTCCACCAGCATCACACCCTGGGGGGGCGAAGAGGGACGACCAAGTCGCGTGCGGAGGTCACCGTCAAACAAGGAACACGCGCGCGAGGCCAAGGAACAAATAGAAAATGATCTGAGCTGACGGTTGTGGGTGGGGGGGAAGAGATACGGGGGCGACTGGGGCACTGGAAGGGGACGAGGGCGAGTTGGGAAGGGACTCGCTGCTGTTCTCCTCCGCAGTGGCCGCGGAGGGTGCCAGAGAGGGGGCGGGGGTGGCGGCAGCGGCGGCGGCAGCCTGCTGTTGGGCCTCTTTGAGGAAAGATGAGAAGGGCGAACCGACGGGGCGCGACGCGGACGAGTAGAGCAGGTGGTGCGGCTGGCTCACCCGCCCGCTCCCGACGCTCGGCGATGACACGAGCGTCGGCCAACACCCCGCACCACCCAGGGTGCCGGTGCGGGAGGTGGCTGGTCGCCCCACAAGTCTCAAACCGTGTCTGCGCATGGCTGCTGCTGCTGGCTCTGGTTCTGCCGGTGGTGGGCTGCTGTCGTGAAGAGAAGGGGGTGCGGTGTGCCTCCCTCTTCCGCTTCTCTGGTGGGTGTGCTGCACTGAATGAACTCTTGTGCGTGTGTTCTTTCTCTTTCTTTCCTGGCCTCTTCTCTTTCCCCGCGGAAGAGGCGCCCGGCAACGGCGGATTTTGTGGTCTCCGTCTCTCCGACTTTAGACAAAGAGGCGAAGAGAGCGGGGAGGGGGGGGCGTGGAGGAGAGTGAGGCCTTCATTGTTGTTTCTCTTTGTAGGCTCCTTAGGTCTCCTCCTCCTTCTTCTTCCTCCTCCTGCCGAGAGTTGAAGCTGATGGGCTCACACGCGATTGCCCTGGCCCACGCGGTAATTGGAGTCGTAGCACTTCTTGCAGAAGGGATGGCCTGGGTAGCAGCCACCACCACAACGTCCAAGAAAAGAGAGGCGAAGGCGTGCGTAAGAGGAGTACTGGGGTAAGCGTGCCACACGACACACCACACACACAGCACACGACACACCACACACAGGGAAGGAAGCAAGTCAGAGGGTGATACCATCCCGCTTGAACTCCTTGCCCAACGAGAGAGCGCTGTCACAGCCGGCACATTTGAAACATATCTTGTGGTACACTGTGGGGCAGCAAAAGAACAGGGTCAGTGCAGACCTCACGCGTGTAGCATTCGGGTAGCCACGCCGTGAACGCTACCAACCACTCCTCTCCACTGTCACTCAAGCCTCCCGTGTGCACATACCCTTGTTGACGGCACGAAGCCTGTTGGTTCACGGGTGAAAAGTGAAGGGAGAGAAAATAGAGGGGGGGGGGAAGAACGAAGCTAAGAAGGGATTGTTGCGAAAAGGTTGGGGTTGACTGTACCTCTCAGACTGATACACTTCCTCACCGCAGCGAGCGCACTTCACGTCATCCCCCAGGTCAGTCATCTTGGCTGTTGGGCCTTCTTTGTCTGTGTCGACGAGAATAAAATAAAGAGACAAATAAAAACAACAAAAATAAGGCAGACAACAAGAACCACAAGAAGATGAGGCGCGCCGCACCGCAGCTCAGCAGGGGCATGCTGCCCGCCTATGGACGTTCGTCGTCTTCCCTCCTCGCCTCGCGAGCCACGTTGAGCTCAACAGCCTCGAGGGCCGCATCGAGCTTGAAGCTTAAAATTCCATTCCTTGGCGATACCGAAATCGCCCTCAAGGATGACGTCTTCCGCCCTGGTGTGCCGGAAAACCCTGGCAATCTTTACGCCGTAAGCCCCTCCTCTCTATTCACCCCCCCCCTGCAAGCATTAATTTTGCTAAGGATCGTCCTCCTTGACAGCCTATGCCGGCTGAGGAATTGATTCACGAGATTCCGCCCAAGGTCACTCACGGAAGCACCGCGGTTTGTGATGGAGGTTTAACCCCCCCCCTCTATTTGAACGTATTTTCGAGCTCACTCCCCCCCCCCGCCCCAATCTTCCTTGCTCCGTACTGCAGGTGGTGGCGCTCTTGGGCACCCTCGTATTTTTATCAACCTGGACAAGCCCGGCCCCCACGACTGCGGCTACTGCGGTCTCCGGTTCATCAAGGAAGAGGAGCACCACTAGAGACACACAATACATACAGCCCCTTCTCCCTTCTTTTCGCTCTTTCTGTCCGCTTTTGTGTGCTGCACGTGCCCTCGAGCGTGCCTGGACCGTTGCGTTCTTGCCTGTGTGTCCATCCCCCGTTCTCTACCCAGCACGACCGATCACGTTCCTTCTCTTTCCGATCTGACGCGCTCCAACGTCCGTTGATGCTGCGGCGCGGCTGACTGAAGGGAACGTGATCAGACGTGCTTGGTTGTTGTTGTCGTCGTTGTGCCTTGGGACGAGAAGGAATCCGGGCTGGCCAGACATGAATGTCTCTTTGGCCAAAGTCCGGGTGAGGCCTCCCTTCAGAATACCAGGAATTCGTCGGGCGGAGCTAATCGTGCGAACAACACGACACGAGCGTTCCTTCCTTGTGCGCCCCCCATCGGATCAATCCAATCAATAACCAACGAAGATGTCCTGCCCTTTCACTGGTGAGAAGAGCCCTGCCGCCCCGGCCAACGTCGAGGAGGTTGCGAAGGAGAAGAGTACGTGGCTCCGGATGATCATCCCTTGATTTTAATCTAATCTAGATCGCGATGCACCAAATTTTTGTGGAGGTGCGAGGATCTAACCGCCACGCGGTTGTGTTTGCTTCATCTTCCAGCCGAAGGAGAGGAGACGGCCAAGGGTTGCCCATTCGAGGGAAAGGCGCCCCGTCGTCCGGCCGCGGGCGGTATCGACATAGATGAGATCGATGCCGACAGTCCTTCGCTGGCCGAGTACAAGAAGCTGAAGCGGGTGATGGGCATCATGACGCAGTTCTACAAGGACGGCACCGACCTCAAGCAGGGCCACTACGACCACGTCACCCAGGAGCTCGAGAAGCTCGACGTCGACGCCAAGATGGCGCAGGAGCAGCTCGAGGTCGTGTCGGCCCCGGCCTTCGCGAGCCACCCCAAGCAGAAGGAGTTCGCCAAGGAGCTGGCCGACGAGGTCGAGCGGCTGACCAAGCAGCGCGAGCTGTTCCTCACCAAGCAGAAGGAGTACAAGGAGCTGGCGGAGTGGAGCCAGGGCATCGTGCGCGTGTGCGAGTGGCTCGAGCTCAACCTCGACGACTACTGCTCCAAGACCCTCGACTACCCCAAGCTGAAGGACGCCCAGAAGCCGCCCACGCTCGACAAGGACACCGCCGTCACCTACTCGAGCGGCCTCGACGAGATCTTCCACAACCTCAAGGAGTCCCAGGACTTCTTCGAGGTAATATTATTTCACTACACCACCTTCACCACCCCTTCACTTCTTCTTGAATGCTGTCTCCCCTTTGGTGAACAAGATGCTGACGGGCGATGAACGTGTGATGCGTGTGCTATAGGCGTCGGTTGATGGCCGGCTCAAGAAGTACCACACGGCGGAGAAGGAGCTGATCGAGGCGCAGCTGGCGGTGGTGCGCAAGTACCCCGAGAGCAGCGAGCGGCGAAAGCACGTCGAGGCGGAGCTCCTGCAGGATCTGGAGTTCGTGCAGGGCAACATGGTGGAGACCCCCGACGCCGCCCGCCGCAGGGAGAAGATGCTTGAGTCCCACGCCGACTTCTTCAAGGTCCTCAAGTTCCACAAGGAGAAGCTCAAGGTGCTCTACCTCGAGGACTCTACCGATGCCCAGAAGCGCGAGTTCGATCCCCGATTCGACCACTACCACTAAGAGCGAGCCACCTTCTTCCTTCGAAGAGAGAGAGGCCTTTCTTCTGCTACGTAGCTCCTAAACCACAAAAATAAATTAACAAACATTTAAAAAAAAACAACAGATCTCACGTACAACAGTGCCACTGTTTATTTGTTTGCCCTCAGCAATCAGTTGGTGAAGAGAGACACAGTGTGCGCCGTGATCAGCTGTGGGCAGCGTCGCCGCCCGGCGCGCTTTCGCGACGAGCACCGCTGTCCGTGTCGGAGAGGAAGACCTCCGACGCCCTTCGCTTCGTCAGAGCCGCATCTCCGCCCGCGCTCTCCAGGAGCTGCTGCTTCGCAGGGCTCATCACCATCTCCTGCAGCTCCGTCACGCCCGTCCCGCCCTCCGTGCCCATCTTCGCCGCTTCCTCATCGCAATCGCCGCTCGCGTCATCGTCGTCGGGCGGTGGCGACACCCCGAGCGACGTGAGCATGGGCTTGCCCAGCTCGCCCGCCCCGGCGTTTGGTGCTCTCGCGGGAGGCGGGAGCCGGTCGAGCTGTGTCGACACCACGAGCGAGCCGTCGCTCTCCGTCATCCCGGCGCCGATGGGACCCGAGCTCGCGTAGTCGTAGTAGTCCTCGTAGCCGTCCTCGTCGTCATCGTCCGCCCCCTCGTCGCGCTCCGACGGTCGGTCGCGTGGGGGGCTCTTCACGCGCGCCTCGTCCAGCACGTCCTCCAGTTCGGCCACGTTGGCCACTGACTCAGTGCTTCGCGCTTCGCCGTCCGAGGTGGCCGTCGACGGGTCGCGGTGGTACGACTCCTCGTCCTCCTCGACGGGCACCTGCGGTTCGTAGTCGGCCACGTCGACGTTCCGTAGGCGCCTGCCGCCCGACCAGTCTCCGGTTGGGCGTCGGCCAGGTACCTGGCCTCGAGCGACCCGCGGCGGCTCTCCCGCTTTCGCCGCCGCGGCTCTTCCCTCTCGTCGCGCTCCCTCTGGCGCCTCCTCTTCTCCTTCTCCCTCTTCCGGCGTCTCTCCTCCCGCTCCCGCGCCCTCTCCGACGAACTGTCGCCACTGCTGCTGCTGCTGCTGCTGTCCTCCTCGCTGCTCGACCGTCGGCTCCTGTGGCTGTGTCGACTGTTGCGCCTCGCGGCCTTCCTCTCATCGGCCTCCGCCTCCTCGCGTCGTCGCCTTCGCCGCGACTCCTTCTCCCTCTTCTCCCGCTTCTCGCGCCTTCGTCGCCGCTCCTCCTCTCGCTGTTGGACCCCCTCTTCGCCCTCTTCGTCATCACCGCGTCGCGCCGCACTGCTGCCGCTGAGGTAGCGCCCTCCCACGCCGCCGCTGCTTGTCTCGAGGTCGCGCAGGTGGACCGCCCACTGCTCGCGCGGCATCACCCCGGCGGCAGCGGCCCACTCCAGACCGGTGGCCGGCACCTCGGCCGGCGGTGCGACGTAGCCGAGGGCGGCAGCGTCCATCGACGAACCGGCGTGGAGGCCTTCGGCTCGCGCACGGTCGCGTTCCGCGGCGGCATGCTGCAGGCCCCCACCTCCGCCGCCCTTGTTCCTGTGGGCCAGCTTGGAGAAAGTGCGCTTCAGCTTCTGCGTGGCCTTACTGCTCGCGGTCTTGATCTTCTTCATGCTGCTGCGTTGTGACAACTGGGAAGCGACTCTCTGGTGACCTTCTCTTCTCCTCCTTTGCTGCTGGCTTGTGTGGTGTGTAAGAGAGAGAGTTGACCTTTGCTCTCTCGGTCCTGGCCTTTCCGGAACTTTGTTGTGAACCAATCCCAGTGAAAAGTCGGCTGGTGCCTCCGCGTAATTCGCTCGCGCCCTTTTTTGTGGACATTGCCACCGCGGAACAAAGGGGTGCAGTGCAGTGCAAGGTCGTCTGTCCCGCGGGCAATGAGGACACATAAAAAGAATGAACATTGAACACGTGTGTGCTACGGGTGTTGTGTTTAAATAAAGAAGAAGGGGGGCATTCCACCGCGAACAAGCAGAAGGCAGATGGGGCTCATCTCACCCGAGGTCGCTGAGCTTCTCCAAAATCTGCTGAAAGGAGGGCCTGTAGGCAGTCACAAACAGCAATGTGTGTGGTGGTGGTGGTGGGTGGGGGGGAAGCGGTCAGGCCCCAATTGAGATAGAGGGCGGCGAAGGTGTAGTGGAGGTACCGCATCTCGGGCGCGTCCTCCCAACATGCGCGGATGAGATCAGCCAGGGCTGGCGGGCAGTCAGCGGGCATGATTGGCCGAAGCTTCTCGTAGCAGGCCTTGAAAGCCACCCGCATGGGCGGAACGCTGTCCTTGTCGAAACCGAATCCGTCCATGAGCTTCTTTCCAGTACACATCTGCCTGCAAAACCAAATACCCCCCCCCAATGGTTACCCCGTCACCATTATCGGAGGCGGAGGGGGGAGGGCACAGTTGTGTACCACAGGACCATGGCGAAAGAGTAGCAGTCGATCTTGGCGCCGTAATGCCTCGTTTGCAGCATCTCGGGCGCTGAAGTGGTCTCAGATGTCAGCCCCTCATCACGCTGGTGCCAACACGCGCGAAGAATAGTCAAAACGGTAAAAAATGGCATACCCATGTACAAGGGGGTCCCAAGGCCAGTCATCGTGGCCGTGGCGTCGCTTTCTCGGGACACTGCTCAGGGTGAAGAAAAAGCTGAGAACCAGCCACCTACCAGCTTCTCCACTCATAAGCAAAGACGCACCTCCGAAATCGCAAAGCTTGGGAGTCCATTGGTTATCCAGCTGCACATGTGTGGTGTCGTGTGTGTGTGGTTGAGACACTACGTTAAGGAGAGACGAGAACACGGGACAAAGCGCGATAAGCGGTACCAGGATGTTGGAGGGCTGTGATATCGAGGCGATCGCCATAGAAACACACCAAGCAAAGGTTATTTTAATGACAAATCAACGAACGGGGTGGTGAGTCGTGCGGTCAAGGGGAAGGAGGAGGCACCTTGAGATCGCGGTGAATGATGTCTGCGGTAGAGTGAATGGCCACAACGAGGAAGACCACGCACGAAACAGTCAGCGGACAGCGAGGATCAACAGAGGATATAAATAAAGAGAGGCCAGTACTCGAGCAGTGTAGGTAATGCATCCCCTGGGCGATGCCCTTGGCAATCATGACGAGCAAAGAATGGTCGATCGGCCCATGACGTAACAGACCCGCTAGACTCTCAGGTACATACTCCTGGTTCCGGAAAGAGTTGGTTGGTAAGCAGGCGTGCGGAGGAGAATGACGTTGGGCGTGCCACGGCGGAGCGTACCATGACCAAGCACCGAGCAGATGGATGAAGACACACGCCAAAGTACTGTACAATGTTGCCGTGTCTCAACTTACTGTGGAGAGGTGAGAGGGAACCTTCATAAGGCACAAACGGCGAACAAAAGCCGTCATGCAGCGTGGCAACGCACCACATGAGCTGGACCTCTTTGAAGAACATCTTGAGAGCGGTGTCGTCCTGCTTGTGTAATCGCTTGATGGCGACCTCACTGCTACGCCAGGTACCCTCTGAGCAAGCAAACAATTCGGAGGGGAAGGTGATCATCGTAAGTGGTCACGTGCCTGCTCCATCACGAGGCAATGGTGGAGGGCACGCACTGCACACTGAGCCAAATGCGCCTGTCCCCAGGGCCTCGCCAAACTTGAGCTCGTCGATCTTGATCTCCCACACCTTCAGCATTTCCGTTATCGACAGGTTGACTGGTGCCAGCGGTACGGCAGGTGAGTACGTCACCACTCCACAAACACGGCCCACTAGCCAGTGTGCCCGACAAAATAAATAAGCTGATACCTGACTCGCCTGATATGGACCGAACGCTGGTTTCCACGCGGGTAAACCGGGCCGTCTGGATCAACTCACTTTCGTCCTCGTCCTCGTCCTCGTCATCTTCATCTATGTGCATGCCCTTCCCCTTCTCCTGCAATCACGAGTTAAGGAAGGGGGCTTAGAAGCTACGCAGCAACGGGACACGAGAGAGAGAGAGAGAGAGAGGTGCTCACCTGGCTGTGCGCTCGTCGCTCTCCGACTGGAGTACCATCAGCTCCATCAAAGCTCAGCGCCAGGTCGTAACTGATAGAATCACAATCCCGCTCTTGTTCCCCCGCTCCAGTTGGTCTCTCACCGGCTTGAAGGATTGACATCACAACGTGTGAGCGCACGCACGCACGCACGCACGCACGCACGCACGCGCAGAGAGCAAATAAATGTATACGAAAACGGGTAGGCGCGAACCTGATTTACGTCGTGCTGGCTCGTAGGCCACAGTCGAAAGGTCATAGGCATCGGTATCTACAGTGGTGCGGCCTATGGTCGAGTGAGGCGACGCGCGTGCCTTCTTCGGTGGCGACTTGGCGGGGAGCACGGGAGAGGAGGAAGAAGTCGGTAGCGGGCGGCGTGGCGTTGACTGTTGCGGCAGAACTGTGATGGAGGACGATGGTGAGGAGGCCGTTGTAGCCGCTGATGATGACGACGATGACGGTGAGCCCGGCGGAGAGGCTCCCTCTTCACCCTCCACAGCCTTTCTCTTTCGCGAGGGCGTCCCTTCTGCGAACGTTGTGTGATTATGAGACCTGGCCGAATTTGTGGGCACATCACACATTGGGGCAAGCCAAAAGCTGCGTACCTGTGGTAATGCGCTCGACGAAGAGATCTCGTATGGTGTCATCGACAACATAGTCTTGCGGCGTTTTGCCCCGGCTGTCGGCTACGTTGACGTCGATTCGCTCACAGCACAACAGTTGTTCTGTGCCTTCTCTGCTTGCGCACATCGCGAAGTGGATGAGTCAGTACGCGAGGGATGCGGTGGCACCACAGCTGCATAACAACCACGCACACTGCCTGACACAAGAAGAAGGTACCGATAGGACTCTTTGCTAGCATGATGTAAAGCCGTCATACCGGCCTTGTCTTGGAGGTTCACATCAACAGTGCGAGTGCCGGCCTTGAGGAGGCACTCTACGGCCTCGGTCTTCTGGTACTTAATTGCTGAGAAGAGGGGACCTAGAAACACCGCAGTGGCAGTGCCGTATGATTAGCAAAACGCAGAGGGAAAGCAACACACAGCAGAGAATGGGCTAATAAGTAGTACTTTGGCCCTGGTCGTCCTGCATATTTGGCAGCGCACCCATCTCCAGCAACAAGCCTGCGAAACGAAAGAGTCAGCAGCGACTCCACGTACATGAAAGTCATCGGGACGCCCCTCCACAAGCAAGCAAGGCGACACATACCAATGGCAGGCACAGCGCCGCCTGCACACGCCGAGTGCAGGGGTGTCCGTCCGCGACGGTCGCGCACGTTGACGTTGGCTGACTTCTCCTGCGCCAAAAACCGGAGGACGTCTACGCGCTGGTATTTGGCCGCCGAGAAGAGGCAGGTCTGTCCATCCCGGTCCTTCATTTCCAATAGGGAAGGCGCCAGCTCCACCAACCGCTTCACGATCGCCAAGTGTCCACTCGCTCTGCGACACCGCGGTACCGCCAACGAAACAACACACACACGACGCATGTAAAAACCATGTAGGACCAGCGCAACAATTTTGGCAGGAGAGGCACGACGTACGAAGCCGCATGGAGGATGGAGCGACCGGCCGAATCGCGATGGAGGAGGTTGATGTCGGGCAGAGAGAAGAGGTACTCGAGCACGGGACCCTGGTCGTACTTGACGGCAGAGAAGATTGGTGTCTTGCCCTCGCCGTCGACCACGTTGAGAGACGCGCCGTGGGCCAGCAGCAGACGCACAAGGTCTTCTCGTCCGCTTGCCGCCGCACAATGCAGGGCCGTCCGCAGCTGCACACCGCCGGCCTGCCGGCCTGGACAGTAGTGCACGTCGGCGCCAGCCTTGAGTAACGCTCGCACCACCGACGCCTTGCCGAAGCGTGCTGCCCACAGAAGTGGCGTCTCCCCTTTTTTCGCCACAACGTTGGGATCGCTCGCTGGCGACGAAGGAGTAGAGGCTGACGGCCGCGTAGCTACGGCCGTTGTCGCGCTTGTGCTGTGGCTCGGCCGAGTCGACCATCCAGAGAGTCTTCCTTGAGGCGTCGGTTCCCCACCACCACCACCGTTGCCCCCTTGTGGCGGCGGCGGTGGGTCGGCCTGTGAGCCTCCAGAGCGCAGGAGGAGTCGTACAACCTTGGCGGCGTTGCGCTTGACAGCAGCGAAGAGAGGCGTCAGCTGGTGCCGATCACGAGCTGCAGTATCGGCTCCACGGGCGAGCAGGAGTGCCACGAGTTCGAGGTCGCCCCGTTCGCACGCCAAGTGGAGAGGCGTCTTCAGCGTGCCCCCCTCCGCCTCAGACATCAAATCGGGATTCGATGCAAGCAGAGCCTCCATTTGCGCCACGTCGCCATTGGACGCAATGTCGTGGATGTTGGGTTGTCCCCGCGACGGATTGCCCAGCATGCTGGGCCTGCTCCTTACTCTCCGGCTGCTGTACAGCGAATGGCCGTAACACCTGCCCCCCTTGGCGCCAAGATCGTCGAGAGGAATGCGCGTTGATGTTTTTTGCAAAACAAAAAACACACGTTGGCAGAGAAAACAGCAAAGGGAAAACAGAAAGAAAAAGATCCCTTTTTTTTTTTATTGGCGGCCACCACCGGTGCCTTCTTTTTAGCACCACCCCGAGTTTGAGTTGATGGAGCTGCACGAGCGCCTTGAAGGCTCTGGGCCTGTTTACGCCTGTCAATGAAGAAGAAGAGGAGGCGAAACATGACGTGGTTGAAGAAGCCAGGGAGGTGCACCAGGTGCTGCCGCTAGAGCTCCTGCAGCACATCATAGGCACTCTTGACCCGGCCAGCGTGGCGCGAGCCAAGAGCGTGTGCCAGGCCTGGCTCGCCATGTGCGAATCGCCCTCCGTGTGGGCGGCTGTCTACCGCCACCACTTCAGCTCGCACCCCTCACCGACCGCCCGGCAGGAAGGTTGCGGCCGCGGCACGCTCCTCTTCAGTGAAATGGTGACACAGTGAGTGCTGATGGTGCCCTTCTTCTTGCCCCGACAATCTTCAACGTTGTATCTCCGGCCTGCTGCAGAGGAATGGGAGGAACGTTGTGTGCGGGCAGCCAGGTCGCTTCGGCGCATCCAGTCTCAGTACGCCCACGATCAACAGGAGCGCCTGTGGCGAACCATCAAGTACGCCCCCGCCGCCCTTTCACGTTTTCGGACCCTCTGTTCCACCCGGCGCGAGCTAGTCGTTGGTGCCAACGATTTTGTGCGCGCGGCAGGTGGTGCTCTGTATGCGGGCACGACCGTGTGCTGCAGGCCCTTCTCACGACGGAGGGTGCCAATGTGAGCGTGGATATGATCAACGGCAAGCGCCCTGTCCACAACGCTCGAGCCGCCGCAAATGAGGCCCAGGATGATGACGTCACATGCACGCGGCCGATTCACCTGGCAGCGTCCGTGGGCTGCGCCGAAGTGATCGACCTGCTCGCGCTCGCGGGCGCCGATGTCAACGTGTCCGACCGCCACGGAAACACGCCCGTGGGTACCGCCGCGGCCAAGGGCTACCTTGACGCCGTCGAGGTTCGTCACGTGCTTTTCTCATGCCAATAGGGTGCACTCACGCACAAATTGCGCCCACTCACCACACTCGTGCGCGAAGGTCCTGCTGCGGCATGGCGCAGGAGGCAGCGATTTCACGCTTCTGACCGAGTCCCAGAAGAGAGGCAGGAAGAAGGGCGCGCGGCCACTCTCGTTCCTAGCCGCTGCCGGTGGCAACATCAAGGTATCCTCCCCCCCCCAATCTCCATGTGGCGCCACCAGCTTTGCCTCAGAACCTTTTGGTTTTTCTTTTACAATTCATTCCCCGACCACCACAGACCATGGAAGTGCTGCTGGAGCGGGCTGGTGGGCCGGAGCAAGCACAAGCGCTGGTCAACGCCGTGGAGCCCAGGACGGGCAAGACGGCTCTTCACTTCGCTGCGGAAAATGGGCGCGAGCTCATGGTGGCCCTCCTGCTCAAGAAAGGCGCTGGTACTGTACACCTTGGCCCCTTAGAATGTGCACCAGTCAGGGCATTGAACCCACCGCCCCTCCCCCCCTCTCCCCAACCGACTTCGTGTTGTGCCGTGCCGTGCCGTGTCGCGTTTTTTCCTCTGCAGACAAGGATGTTCTGTGCAATTCCAAGCAATCGGCGTTGCACTTGGCAGTGCTCAGCGGATGTCTCACCGTTGTGCGCATTTTGGTGGAGCACGGCGCCAAGGTCTTGTTCTCCGCAGCCGAAGCCCAGACGAAGAAGGTACGCCCCACGCTCGGGTGGTGTGTGTGTGTGTGTGAACATTGGGGGTCTGGGTGGGTGTGTGTCAACATTGGGCGTCTGTGTGTGTGTGTGTGTGTGTGGGTGGGTGTGTGTGGGTGTGTGCTTAACTGACGTCCAATGTGGGCATCGACGTGCAGACCCCCGTTTCGCCACTCTTCCTAGCCGCTACCTGCCAGTCCAAGAATATGCTGTCGCTCTTCCTTGAGATGGGTCTCGACATCAACACTATCGACGAAAAAGGTTGTACGCCGCTTCACGCTGCGCTCTATGCTGAACACGAGAACCTGGCCTTCATCGAATTTTTTCTCGAGCACGGAGCCGACGCTAAGGCCGTGGACAATTTGGGCAGAAGCGTCCTCCACTATGCACTCAGGGTACCGTGCCGCTTGGCATACGTTGCTCGCTCCTTTATGGGCCAGCGCTGATCTGGCATGTGATGGATGTAGCTAACGTATTTTGGGGCGACATCAATGAACCACCCAGAACGCCAGCACGCTCAACAAAGTGGAAATATGCAGGCGCTTGATTGCTGCCGGTGCTGATGTTCACTCCAACGATCCTGTCTTGGTACGTAAGCCAAACCCTCTGATTCGTTGTTGTAGCCCCATGTGTAGCTAGCGTAATGGCCACAAACCGTTGGTGTTTCTAATGGGCACAATATTGTATATCTTCGTTCAGTGTCTGGCCACACTTGCTTCAGGCCGGCGTGCCGACTCAGAGGTCTTGGTTAATCTCATCGAGCTGTTCATCGAACATGGGGTCGATGTTCTAGAGCGTCGTACGAACTCCCCACACTTGGCGCAGAAGCAGAAGCCGCTCCACGATGCAGGAAGCACGGGGACTGATGGCGGGGGGGGGGAACACAACAACACGCCTTTCGTCCTTCTTCTTTCGCTCTGCAGGAATCGGCCTACCCATACTCCTGGCAGCAGTCAGTTCTACCCGATACAGACTTACAGAGGCTCTGCTGGACCTCGGTGCGTTTGAATTCAGCTTCTTTCTTCGCAGTTGTGTGCCTGGCCAGCTGTTGTTGTAACATTTATATTGGGGGGGGGGGCGGCGGCGGTGGTGGACAGGCATAAATCCAAATGGCAGTGATGGAGAGGACCTGCCATTGTTTCGAGCTGTCACTCAATACTCCTGGATACATGATCAAACGACAGCAAAACTGTTGGTTGAGCTGCTTATTGAGGTCCGCATTAAAAACCATCCCTCTCCCCCTCCCCCCGTTTCTGTACCCTTGGCTGATTGTCTGAACAATTTTGTCCAGAGGGGAGCGGACATGAATGGCCAGTCAGGGAAAGCACAAGAGCCAATTTTGTTTGGTGTGAGCCTGTCAGATGCACCTGAGTTATTCCAGATGTTGGTAAGTTGCGCAGCTCACCTCCTTCCATGTCTGCTGCTGCATGTTACCCTTCTGGGTGTGGGTGGTGGCTGATCAGGTTTGCCATTGCTTGGATTTGCAGGTATCACATGGAGTTGACATTAACGCAAGGAATGGGCATGGTGAGACATTTTTGTACCGGACCATCAACATGCAGTGGCCGTATTTCGAAGGTCAGCTCGAGCCCATCAAGCAGTTGGTCCACACCCTTCTTGAGCGTACGACACACACCACTCAAATGCGCTCTGAGTTCCTCCCACTCACTGGTGGGGGTTCTACTTGTATCTTCCAGATGGTGCTGATCCTCGCCAATGCCTGGTGCAGGGTCATGGCCCATTGTCTGGTCCAATTCATCCCTCGGACAGGTTGGGTGCCGAGTGGATTGCCTTTGTCCAATCCCTGGGCATCCCTGCCGGACCAGACCAGGACCAGGGCTGACGACAAAATACGCCCCCCCCCGGGACGTTAGGTTGACTTCTTGTAATTCCTGCGCAAATTAAAAAAAAGGTACGGACCTTTCGGAGGTGCCGGTTTGGTTCCGTCGCCGGGGTCGAAGAGAGAGGCGCGGAGGTTCCTTTTGGTTTCTTTTGTCCCCCGCCTTCGATCAAGAGAGAGAGAGAGCAAGAGATGTCGCAGCAGCAGCAGACCGCCATCCCCGCCCCCGTGGTTGCGCACCACGCCCCCGTCTTCGATCTGA